TTGTGCGTCTTCATATCATCTTTTTCAAAAGCTACGTGGAAATTTTACCAAGCACCAAAGAAAGGGGGAAAGAAAAAAAAAAAAAAAACTATTGTTGGATTTTCTCAATGTGAAAATATATATTCCCCTTGTTCCGTTATAATTAATTATACAATTATTTTGAGAGATAGAAAGAAGGAAAAAAATTTTGTTTTAATTAAATGATCCTACACTAAAAAATTAAACACGTTCTGTCCCGTAGCCAAACCACACGTATGTTAATCCATTTTGGAATAAATTATTCATCTTTAATCTTCAAGCTCTTTGGTCATATCCCTAGATGTGCATAGGTGGAGGGAAAATGCCCAATTTCATGCCGTAAGTAACATTTTGAAGTATCGAACTACGTTAGCCAACTTTGAAGTTTGAACATTACGTCGTTGCCTTTTATATTCGCGTTTAATTTTGTCTTTTGGTTCTCATATATAGTGCTGACTTTTATTCATTTGTATTTTGTAAGGGTGGTATAACCTTAAGACCAAGTCATTACTACTAATTAGGCACCAAAGTGTGCTTAAGGAGTGACGTACCCGTATGAATTATTCTAATTACACCTCCAAAGAGGAGGGGCAACCAAAACCTTTTAATTAGTAAAATTATAAACTCTAGCAAATTGTACAGTGCTGGCTCTATTATATTGACGCAGGGATTTTGTCATCTTAATCAGCCAATAAGATTTCTAGTCGATGGACATTAATATTACTCCAAGAAATTTTTGATTTCGACAAAGATAACGACTTTATATATAAAGTACTGCATCTGCATTGCACCCATTTTCCTTGTCTGCCACAACATATTTTATATCGCTGTTGAAGAAACTAAAAGAGATTGTTAATAATGCATTGGTATTACATGTGTTTTCTTGTGAACTTTAAGAATGATCAAATAATTCGTTTCACCATTTTGCCTCTATCCGCTGATTCCAGCAAGAAATTCCAATAACATCCATATATAGATTATAGACTATATTATATGTATATCCACAAGCATTTTCACCTTGCAGCTCAGCTAACCCTATAGCTATACCTGCAACTTATCTCGTCCTACCCTTTCGTTACGGGGTAATTTTTAGCAAAATTAATCGAAACTTAGAGATTATATTCTCTTCGAATTAGTAGGGAATAAGAAAAACACATTTGGGATCTTCTATACTAGATAAACTGAAAAACATATGAATTATTATGTGTCAGGTACGTACCCTGAAAATGTGAATCTTTAGTCAAGACTTTTAACTAGTAAATAAATATGTAAAATTTTTTTTTTAAAAAAAAACGAATTATATAAGCTTGTGGCTCTAAAATACGAAGACAAGGAACAATGTGTCATTATCTAAAACTGGTCCTGAAGGGAGACAAGTAATTGAATTCGATAGGATTTAACTTGGATTATAAGAATCGCCCCCAACATTTCCGAATTGATGCATGTCCATATCTCGAATTTAATTGGTTGCTTTGTCCCTTTGGATCAGTTTATTTTTATCACAATTTACCTTATATAGACCAGCTGCTCCATATGGCGAACTTCAATTCACTTTTTTTTCGTTAATGTTCTGTTATCACTTATCAAAATCTCTAATTTGGAGCTAGTTCAATTGCATATAATTAATATCTTCATCATATCGAAAGTAGCGGATATGTATCAGTTGATTATTGTATATAATTGTCAAATTTGCATTATACACGAGATTAAAACATCAGTCAAGCTTTTCTTAATTTCTCATGAATCATTATTACAAAGAAAATCGAACGATATTTCTCCGTCAATCATAATTGCAGGCAAAGTTGGAAATTACAGTGTCATAGTGATATTTTGATGTTCAACTTTCTTTCTCAGGTGGCTAACAACTGGCCGGGCTATTTAAAGCGGATATATAGTTACCACCTACAAATTGACTTCCACTAAACAAAAATAAATAGTCCGATTTGGGAAGAACATCAAGTTGCTAATCAAAAGCACATGGGAAATCCAGATTACTGTACATGGATCATACGTGAACCAGTCAAATTCCAAATACTCTCTCCGTCCTATAATTATTGTTCAGTTTAGATTTTTCATTTTTAATTCAAATTGTACTAAGAGTGAAATCTCAAACTGGACAATAACTATTATTATTTTTTTTTATAAATAACTGGAGCATAATTTTAAGACAGAGGGAGTATTAAAAAAGATGCACGGAGAAGAAGACTTCTGTACGACCTTTCTAAACTCTGAATAATAGTAGTATTCAAGTACTGTTATTTTGTCAGAAAAAAAATGATTAAGAAATTCGTCTATTGGTTCTTATCGGTTGACGGAGTGAATATATATATATATATATATATATATATATATATATACTACAATATTTTGTAGTTTTAGACTTTTGAATTCAAGTTTCATCAGTTGCAAAGTCAAATCCCTTATTTTATACTCCCGTTGTCTGAGTGACTTTTGTATATTTTTGCAAAGTCAAATCTCAAATTTAAGAGATCAAGTACTTCATCAGTTTCTAGAAAAAATAAATTAGATTCAAAAAAAGTATTTAGTATTAATTTAAATTCAATAAATTTTAAGACAGAAAGAGTAAACAATTAGCGTTTGTGGCTAAAATATGTTGTTGGCCGGGTTTATTATGACGTGCCAAAACGCACACAATAGGAAGCAATAGCAAAATTAATCTAAAACACCTCATGAATAAGACAGAGTTTACAATTTGTACTTTAGGGAAAATGAAACTAATCAGGCAAGAACAATGAATGAAAGGGGTCGACTATACAAGCATCAATCTAAGGTCAATTTAAGCAATGATGCTTAACCTTTCACTATTGTGGAAATACAACAAGTTTTTGGTTTCAGACAACTTCTTTTTCAGTTACTAAAACCAGTCCGGACAAGATACTGTAGGGTTTTAATTATAATAAACACCAAAACAGGGAGATCACTGCCATGGACGCCTAAAAAAAACAAAAGGGTATGAATTCAATTTCTTATTATGAATGAAGTCACGCACAAAAGAGGTTGATGAGCAAAACAGCACTTAATGCGAAAAAAAAAGAAGCAAAAGCAAACACTTTCAGATGAAGAAATTTGAGTGGTACTTTTCAGGGTCATGGTAGTGTCCCAATTACATGACTTGTGAACAATTGAACTCCAATACATATGGCAGAAAAGAGAGTGTACCTACATATCTCTCGAGCGAACACATATCTCACACAAATTAATTCTTGTTCAACTCGAAATATCGTCGATACAAAATCCTAAATACAGTTACCGTATGGCTAGCTGGAGATGTGACACTAATAGTTTGCTATCACAAGTCGCACAATGCCAGGCAGGGGTTAAACGAGCAACATGTTTGAGACCCATATAAATTGAGATGTTCCCTTCTTTGGCTGTAAGGATAAGACGTAAGGGACTCTTTCAAGTTTCAGACTGCCCCAAATATATATTTGTATCTTTGGACCCATCTCACATGTAAGCTCACATGGCCGCTCAAAAGGCCAGAAAGTACGTAACCATAACAATCACAACTTGATTATTCTTTTGTATATCTAATAAGTAGCAATGATCAATAAAATTGAAATAAATATTTTTGAGTCGTACCGTACCACATTGAACTGTTCTCTCAACTCCTGTGTGAACGATCCCGATTCACGAACGAGGTGTAAATGTTACGAAATCACAGTCAGTATTATACTCCCTCCGGTTTTTAATATAAGGCATTTTGATTTATCTTAAGTTTCACATAATACATATTTTTGATTGACAAAAAAACCTTAAAAAGTTATTTTCACATTCCTTATGTTCTCTTGATTGTTATGAAATATTTTTAAGATTTTTTTGTTAATTAAAAATACATACTAGGTGAAATTTAGAAAAAGTCAGAATGTCTTGTAATAAGGACCGGAGGGAGTACAATTTTCGAAACACCTACAGAAATGAATTAAATGTATAATTTCTTTTATTAAATATCTACCATTTAGAAAAAAAAAAATCCAGAGGTTCCAAACAAAATGCATCCAGAAAAATTCAGTGTTTATAGTTTCTGTTTGTTTTTACATTTGAGGTAAAAAAATTTATTTCAAATTTAAAAATTTGTTTAAATAGATTACATTTATTTCACTGTTCATAATATCACAGAGGAGAACAAGAAAACACATACAAACGTGAGTTCGACAGAGTGTTTATACTTTGTGGCACAAATGATTTTATGAAGAGGACATAATCAAAGCAGGTCCCGCCACTTGAGAATTTTAAACTTGCCCGTTATTGAAAGAGGCCCATGGACTCGTCTAAATTAATCATTTGTCGGAGGACCAAGTTTAGGCCCGTATGCAAGAAAATAACAAAGGACAAGCATTGGCCCGGAATTGATTATTTCATCTTCCATTGATTAGGGCACGGCCCACTTACCATTATATTTCACCGGAGTGTTAATATTATCACTTGAGTTCAAGTAACCAGTGTAGTTCTTTTTTTTTTTTAAAAAAAAACAAAATTTAATGTATTAATTGTTTATTTTAAAAAAATAAACATAGTGTAGTATCTTCATCCTATTAATCTTGTTGAATACAAAATGTAAGACAAACCATCAGACCTTTTATTTCATTAAAAAAAAAAAGATTATATTTAAAGAAAGATTCCAAAAGTAATTTTACAGTAGTAAAAGATATTATGATGCATTTTTCTTGTTAGGACAAACGACCGAACATGGTACAACAACAAATTTAGAATCCTTCTGAAACCGTTGGCATTCCCATCAATTTTTTTTTTCATTGTTTTTTTTATACTTTATATACTCGTGACATTAGATCAAGTGATAAATTAGAGTTTACAACACAACATCCCATGAGAGTTGTTTCTTCCTAAAATGTTCATTTCAAACCCCAAATTTACCCGCCAAAAGAACAGACAGACATGGCCAGAATACTACACCTAAGGACTCCTCACTTAACAGCAAGGGAAAGCTTACCATTTTATCATCACTTCGAAGAAGACCCCGCTGCCTTGGAAGAACCAGCAGCTCCATGGTCGACTGATCCGATACACATTTGTGAGCCGAAAGAGGTGCTTTTCCTCGCCTTACCAGGGAACTCTTTGCCTAGATTACACTTCATTGAAAGATTCTTTTTAATCCTACTTCGGGTAAGTGAGAGCATAGTACTACGAGAAGGCGTGTGCAAAGCCCCTTCTACACAGTCTCCAGCCTGAGCGCAGCCCCATGGTTTCGAGGATGTGCCATCTTCACAAAAAGGTCTTAGCCTGGGAAAGAACTTGGCAAAGACCTTCTGCTCTGGAGAGTTCTCTTCTTCAATTTTGGCACAGATGGGGCAAGGTGGGTCACTTTTGTGAGCCTTTGGTGTGGTTTGGTCCAGGCATTCTGCATGAAATACATGACGGCAGGAAAGAACCCCAGCAACCGGCATATCACCACTTCTTACAATACGTCGAGAACTCCAAGGTGATCTTTGTGAAAGAAGCCGCTCACACAATCCACATCTGAAACTATCAGATTGATTACGAGCTTTATTGGAGCAATCAACTTCGAGTGGTTCTGAGACATCTGTGAGATCAACACTGCCACTTGCACTGCTCAATCGATTTTTTTCTCTTCTAGGAGTACCAGCATCAAATTCTAAAAACCCAGCAGAATTGCTCTGAGTAGCTTCTCCTCTAGGAGTATCCGAGGGAAAGGACAAAGGGTGAACAGGCTTGGACATGAAGCAACGGCGACTTGAAAAGTTACGATGAGTGTGATGTGACTTGGCTATAGAGTCATAATCACTACTGTCTGATCTAGATGAAGTAGAACCTCTGCTATCCCTGGCAGCCGATGTTCCCTGGAAATTCATATTGGATTAATTTCAACTTCAGCCAGCACTAGGCAGCAAAATATGGGAAAAATATAGAAACAACTTACTTCCATTGCTGGTGAGAAGGGTAAGGGCCTCAAAACTGCATTTAGACAATGAAAGGAGTATCAAAAGCACAATCATATAACTATTCAAGTTCTCAAATGAAATCACAAAAAAAATTATACAAGAACATCTTATAATCATTTTGTGACATTGGGATTACTGAAACTGAGTAAATATCTTAACACAAAAAATAGAAGTTAGATTCTTCAGCTAGAAAAATGGGGAATTTGCATCAAAAAAGGGATTACTGACTGTACAAATTCAAAAAGAAAGCCTGATGTGATAAAATTCTCTGAAGCTCACACATGCCAGTCCATTTGCTTAAAGGGTTCTCTCAAGCATAAACATCACTCACAAAGACAGACCAGGAGGAATGCTTCTTATACAAAGGATTTTCCGGAAAGCTAACGTATGGAGACTTCCCAGTAAGATATAGTTATTTTAGCAAGAAACTAAACATATCAGAGTACCACCCTCTGAAACCATATCGTTCCAAAACCGAAATAATATCCAGTACACAACATTCCAAAAATTACAGACATCTTGAATGACAACTGAAATTTATTTTATACATGAATCACAACAACTAAGAGTATTTCAAAAGGAAAAGGGTGGTGATGGAGGAAAGAAAAGCGAGATAAAGCAGCCTGGAGATTTTTTGCCTAGCTAGAAACATTCACTTACTAACCTATTTATTTTTCATCTCCTTGTAAACCAACGAGTCACACACTAAGCACAGCAATTTTATCGAAGGTTCAATCGAATTTTTATTCAACCTTATAGAATTAAAATTAGAATTGGTAGTTTTGCCAAACAAACCCGAGGGTTTTAGTTTCCTAGATAGTCTAGATACAAGGAAAAGAAAACTTCAATTAAAATCACTTGTTACACTTTACATTTAACTCCAACTTTTCAAGTTTCTAATGAGACACACGCAATAAGGGTCAAATCGAGGACTCCAACAAGATCTTTTCAAGAGACACTAAGATTCTGATACTGATTTCTGTTGCAAGGGGATTCAGATTTTCATTCAAAACACACAATAAAATTTAAGTTATGGAGCTAGTAGAGAACTCTCAACTGAAGCGAAATAAAAAAGGTGAGATGATAGCACTTTTGCAAATTGAGGTAAAAATACAGATCGGGTTCAATGTAAATTTAATGATCAAGCTGAATACACATCACATACTAAGTCAGAGCATGGACCAGGATATGAAAGAGTCGGCAAGAAGAAGATGAATTGAGAAAAATACATACTGCTGTAGTACAGGGCAACAATCTAGAACCAGATAAACAATCTTGCATTATGCAGTTTTTATCATCATTATACAACAAATCAGATACACTCGATAACTGCCTCCAACACATTAGTTAATGAGACACCCGTTCAGGTTCTTGATGACGCGGAATTAAAGGTGCATTTATAAATGGTGTGGTAGGACACCCAAATGAAAGATCAGAGAAACAACTGTTCAGTAAAACCACATGAGAATAAATTTGAGGCAGAGTTTGTAATCCTGCAGATAACATGGCTGAAACGAGAGCCAAAACAGTCTAACCTACCTTGAAGCCTAAACCAAAATCACCCTCTAATCCACTACTGCTACCATCTGAACTTGGAACCATGGGAGTATGAGCAAATATTAACATAAACCATTGCAGCATTCAATTAATCAAATAAATAGAGAACAAATAATCAAAATGATTTGTCCATCTCAACCATTTTAAGGTCAAGCTACTATTAATAAAAAGCTGTGACAAACAAATTGTGAATCGTGTCATAAGATGATTAGATTGACTGGCTTTCTACAAGCTAAAGTTAAAAAAAAACTTGGAGGAAGGGCAAAGGAAAATATTAGATTGATACTAAACAACTTGGAGGAAAACGCAGCGATTAGGTACATAAGCAAGCATGCTACTGTCAAGGGAAACTGGAGCTCAACTTAAATGTCTAAAAACTTGGAAATTTGACTTACTTCTACTTGAGGCATGAAAATCATCAATGTTGATTTCCTGAATTGCAGGTGGAGTCCACTGTCGCACAGGGGACACATCAGAGGGACTGCTATAGTATGGGCCACCACCATCATTTGCCACATATTGATGATTTGCCAGTTGATTGCCTCTCAACCAGCTTCTGCTTTCTCTACTATTTGAGGATGCAGAAGACCCAAACAGTTGTACGCCATCATGAGAGCCAAAAGATAGTGCTTCAGATTGAAAACGGAAGTCCCATCTCGATGGCGGAGGTGAATAACTCGAGTTCGTCCGCCAATAAGGCTCATGTGGCCCCAAGGACCACTCTCTGCTGGCGGCATTTGATCCATGTGGCCTTGCAGCCACACAACAAAGGGACCCCGTTTTAGCTATCTTTCACAAAACCCACCAGAAATTCCTTCACCCTACTTTCAGAACACTTCCTGAGTTGCAAGGCTAACTATCACAGACTAGTACAGTCGGCCAGAAGATAGAAATTCACCAAAAGCTCCATATTTGTTTATGATATATAGTAAATATCAAGAACAGAACTTTGGATTCTTCTTATCACAGTTTGGTTCAAGGAACTTAAGTTCAGTGAATGACAATGACAAAGCCTTCCTGAACCCCAATAAATTACCAGTGGAACAGACCAAGTAATGCTCAAAACTGCTTCAAAATCATTGCTTTAACTAGCCAGAGAAACATGGACCTATAAACACCACAAAGACAGCTTACAAACTATGTTTCAGATGTCAATACTTAATGCAGTTGCAGACTCGATGAACCTGCAAGCAAAAAAGTGTAGAAAGCAAGACCTCAAAACCAGGAAGTGCAAGTTCAAGATATCAATTGGAAAAGGCAAGAAAAACACCCCATTCAAACTGGAAACATGGCATTCAATGAAACATTAACAGCACAGAATAATAATAACAACAACAATAATAATAAAAAACCTACCTTTACATACTTCATAATTTCTATCACCAGCTCAGAGACGACATCAAAAAGAACCTCAAATAGCAGAAAAACAATAGAGAAGAAGAAACTTTCCTTCTCCAGTTAATCGATTCCCTGTCTCCTCTACTTTCTAAGAAAATTAGACTACTGCAGAAAATATGTATACTTCCAACTGGGTTTTTTAAACAAATAGAAATAAAAAGTCACTCATATACTGTCGACAAAAATGGAGCCATCATATATCAACCACCAACAGCAAACCATAAATAGATATATAAAAGGAAGGAAAATTATAGCCAAGCCAACAGCACTGAATTATTTAAGCACAGAATAATTCCCAATCATCAGAACCCAATTCTAAAAAAATGGTTAAAAAATTCCAAATTATTGGCAGAAACAACCAACCCAGAAATAAAATAATTCTTTAGAACAGAAAAACAGCATCTTACAGGGAAAGATTCTCAAGCAACAACAACGTTGTGGAAAAATTACCTTAAGAAAAAGATAATCTTGCATTCAACAAATAAAAAGGCTATCTTCGACATTAACAACACAAAGTACACAAATAGCTTGATGAAAATGGAGTCATCAATAAAATGGCTTCAAAATTTCAGTGTCTAATTTTGTGGGCTGAAAAGGAAAGAGTGAAGAAGGCAGAGAGTGAAGGGAAACTGTCTGTCTGGAAGAAAGAACTTAAGAACCCTAAATTAACGGAGAAAGCGCGATTATTTTAAGTGGTCTTTTTTGCTCTGGAGCCCTCATATTTTCTGTAATTTACGGTTGGGGCAACCTCTTAATCTCTTTCCCGTGCTTTGCCATGGCTGCTTTTGCCTAACTCTTTTTCCTTCTTTTTGGCATTGATATCAGAGCTGTATAATTAATTAATTTAGTGCAATCATACAGGAAAAAGAGCCAAAACAAACATAAAAAGGTTTTTAATTTTCCAAGTTGTTTGTTTTTTTTTTTTGGTTTATTATTTAATGATAAATTTACCGCCTTTCTTGAAATCGAAAGACTTCAAAACAAATCAAACATTCCTCTTTCGTCTTTTGATAACGCTGCTTGTCAGTTGGTTCATTTCTTTAATGTGTTTACAGTCTACCTACAAAGGTAAATTGTTATACCGTAATTAAGAACTGATGACAATAGAATAATAGTACTACTATAATTTAAAGGTATAGTATTAGTATCAAACAATTTCGGATTGTTGAAGTCTTGGAAGTCTTGAAGATTTTTCTGAAAGCAAAGTCTTGAAATGAAACTAAATACATGTTGTTCATGTTCCCTTTTTATAAAAGTTTTAAGTTTCATCGTCAATAAAGGGGAAATGTTTGTGTTTTTGCTTTTTTGGTACAGGGATAAGAATTTAGGGAGGAAAATATAGAGGGATCTGTATCAAAATACTATCACCTCACATTGTTGTTGAACCCCTTTTTGGTGTTTATCTTGGGAAAGTCTCAACCTTTTGTCATCAACCCCACACTACTTTTCCTTATTTAACCACTTTGCAAGATCAACTAATGCAATAGCTTGGAAAATGGGAGTTCTATCAGCAAAATTGGGTCATCCATTTCCACTACACTCAACTTTGTTGTCTTGGCACAAGTCATAGGGTCATAGCACAATTCAGAGGATAGAGTTGCACCACATTAAGGATGAATCATTATTGGCTGTTTTTGATCCATCAATGGCATGAGAGAATATACAAATTGCTATCTAAGATCAAACTTGCTCAAGTTCGTTTCAATAGAGCTTCTGATTACTATGGTCTATGGCAGTCGACAAACTCCAAATTATTTCGCACCGTCTAAAACAGAATAATGACAATTTGATCTGGAATAGCTCAGATGCAAAGCTTCAAAAGATGAATATACACAAAAGAACATTTATTTTTGGTTACATTTGGAGCAGGGAAGTTGCACTGGGTTATGCATTGTGGGATCTTGTGCAGCACCTTAAATAAAAGCTTCAACAAACATATGCCTGTCTATACATTCTACCATGATTTATTGCATCAGAGGCGTGCAGCAACATGGCTACTTGTGAGCTATCCCATAGACATGAGGGTTGATGATTGAAGCAGTAGTCAAGAAAGCTTGGTTAAGTTCAACATCTGAAAAGCCGGCTTTACCAATGATTGCTCCTGTTTTTCTCGTTAAATGACAGCCATCGGCAACAATCTGTTGCAAAGGATCAAGCACACCTTGCATGAATCTTCGAATTGTTCCATCTGGCCCAACAGAATCGAGGTATCAAGGCAAGAATTCTATCAGAGAAGGCGAAAATTAATCGCAAACAAAAACAGTACCAAAGAAAGGAATTAACATGTTACCATCTGCTGAAACATGTTCAACAAACACGTACAATCCACCAGGCTTGAGCACCCTCTTTATCTCTAAACATGGAAATAAAATTTTATCACCAGCTTGCTTATGGATGCAAATTAGGAAAAGCTGCTAGTAATAATGAGCCGCTACCGTCTTGAACACACTACATTCCTGACTTCTTTTATCTCTAAACATGGAAATACAATTTTATCACCAGCTTGCTTATGGATGCAAATTAGGAAAAGCTGCTAGTAATAATGAGCCGCTACCGTCTTGAACACACTACATTCCTGACTTCTTTTATCTCTAAACATGGAAATACACTTTTATCACCAGCTTGCTTATGGATGCAAATTAGGAAAAGCTGCTAGTAATAATGAGCAGCTCGCGTCTTGGACACACTACATTCCTGACTTCTTTAGCTCTTTATCATCTGATGCTACATGCTGAAGTCCTAACCTAGTGGAGTAGGGAGGTGAGCTTTACCTTGCAATGTCAGGTCGAGATCTTTAACAGAACATAGCACAAGCGTGCCCACAACAGCATCAACAGATTCATCAGCTAATGGAATAGCTTCTGCAACCTGCTTGATATGCAAAAGTTAAAGTTGGAGACTTGGAGTACCTTTTGCTCAAAATGAAGCAAGAAGAACAGAAAAAATGTTCCACTAATAACTAGGAAAGTAATGGAAGCACCTACATTCAATCTAAACTCAAGTTAAAGAAACAACTTGGAGGGCAAAGAAAGCAATGAGTTACGTAGTCAAAGAGTTCAGGGTTATTTTGTCTTTAGTGATTGCCATCTTTTGAGATTTGCTAGGTTTAATTCAACCGCCAAGAAAAAGAGAGATTTTGAAATGCCATATCTAGGAAATAAACCAGAAGAAGAAACTAATAAATGCATATTCAGCATTTTTGCCCATGATCGAAAATGTGCAGACATCGAATGATTTTTATCCTCAGATGAAGCCACAAAACACATTATGAATGACAAACAAGAATAAGCGCAAATGTGGTCACTGGGAGTACTCATACGGCTGGCAAAAATTTGAATTTTGTAGATGGAAGGCCTGCAGCATCTGCTGCCGCCCGTGCATATTTCTCCATCTTCTTGTTCGGGTCTACACCAAAAACTTCAACCCCGGGTTCATCTGCATAATATTTAAGGTTCGGACCTGTCCCAATGCCAATTTCCAATATTTTATCAGCCTTTCCTCTCAGATTAGAAAAAAGTGGCAATTTATAACCTGCAATCTTACACAATAACAGGCACATTTTCATATCCACTAATCAAATGATAAAATACCGACAAAAAGTGGCCTTTAGATCACCAACCTCAGCCTCATATGCTTTCATGCCTGTTTCCATTACTGATGCAAATAACTCCTCATACCAATCTGGTCTTGGAGGGTGAATTCTGTTCAGCATATCCTGTATTGGAAAACAGTAATGATATTACATCATAAGAAACTCTACAAGATATCAACCTATTAGTCTTACCTTGCAAGCTCCAATACTGAACTACTAACTATTGCATCCTCAGAAGTCACTTGTCCCAAGTTCCCAACTTATTTGAGACACACAAAAACTGATCGCTTTTGGTAAATTTAATAGAACCCCATAGACTTCCTCTGCCCCTTTAGACCCAAAGCACGCTCCCAACAAGAAAAAACTTTCTCAGAGTTCATTAGCAACTGTAATTCACATGCAGTGTCCGATCAACTTGTCAGCACAATTACAGTCTACTGAAGCTCAAAAAGGCTTCAATTTTCAACAAGACAAAAAAACGAATAAAGCCCATGAAATTTCAGAAAACAATCAATAGCTACCAACAAACTCCATAAAGAATCATCAAGCCCAGATATTAGCTATCATACCATGGGATCATTTGCAGCAAAAGAATTCGGAGCAATAGGAAAAAGAAGAGCATTGCCAAACGCTTCTATGAGACGCCTTCTTGTAACACAACAAGGGCAGAATGTTGTTGGGGATGGGAAGGTGCCTTTGTAGCTTTTCTTTGATTCTTTGATGTTGTCATCAGTTCTTGCTTTGGAACAAGAGATGGCAACATTTTTTAAGGTTGTGCTTCTGAGGGATAAATTGGGATATTTGGTTGTCCGAGAAGGAGTAACGTTGATGGCAATACTGCTCAATGAAGAAGGATAAAGCCATTTGAGAATCATTTCATGTAAGAAGATAAAATCATGAAAGATTCTGGTAGGATTTTGGACTTTGGAGTGGACTTGGCAAATATTCTACTATTTTATTTATTTTCTAGGTGTAAAAAGAGAGGTATTTATATCATCAGTTATTATTACTACTACTTCTTCAAGTAACAACCCTAACTTAAATACCCCCAACTGGGTCGGTCTTCTGGATATTTCCTTTCAACTTTTTTTTTTCTTGACGTCAATATTTTCAGAATCGGTATTGTGCTTATACTAGTCGACGGTTCAGTGCCTTGACATTTATACTGGTTTGGCCAAATCTCTACAGTTTTAGTTTCAGAGTTCGACTCTGTTTTTACCTCTTCTTTCAAGTTCATACCTTTTTTATTGAAGCATCGAAATCGTGTAACGGTTGAAGAATCTTCTCGTAGCATTGCCACCGCTCCGTCTAAGTCGTTGCTTCTGGTGGGTTTTTCTTCTAAATTTATTTTTCCAATTATTCTTGATTGAAAAGCATCGAACTTGGTGATACATTGGAACTAAAGCGTCTGTTTGAATCATGATATTTGCTAAATTCTTTCTACTAGTCGTTTTTTTTTTTCTAAACTTAAATTTCAGATTATTCTTTTTATTGTAAAGGATCGAACTTGGCAGCAGTCGTATAATAATTCCGAAACTTGTTGGCAATGTTGTTATTCATGGAAGCTTCAGTTCATTCATGATGTCTGCTACCGTTTAGATTTTGGCTCCATTGAGCTCAACGGGCAGTAGTTGTTTTTTTTTTTTTTTGGAAGGGTGGGTTTGATTGTGATGGTTGGACCCAATGCTATTTTAGTATATATTTCTAGAAACGTTTACCTATGGAATTTTCTGTGCTGAATATAGTTTTTTTCGTTGTTAGGTAAGTGCATATAAAATTCTAGGCTAGTAATGGCTGGTCAGAGGAATGATTATGGAAAGAGAATACATTCTCAATCTGAACATTTGGCCAGTGATGGTAGCAAGAGAAGAAATCCTACTGATGATAAGGAGTCCAACACCATTGGACCCGACGATACAGTTTACCGCTACTTGTGTCCCTTGAGAAGAATTGGAAGCATTATTGGAGTAGGTGGGGATATTGCAAAGCAATTAAGGTCTGAAACCCTAGCTAAGATTAGGATTAGTGAGACGATCCCTGGCTGCGACGAGCGTGTAGTTACTATTTATAGTTCCAGTGAAGAAACTAATAGCTTAGGAGATGATGATGATGATCTAGTTTGTCCAGCTCAAGATGCTCTTTTTAAAGTGCATGATAGAATTGTTGCTGAAGATTTACCCATTGATGATGAGTCAGAGGATCCTCAGCAAGTTACAGTCCGGCTGCTTGTGCCATCAGACCAGATAGGATGTGTGATTGGTAAAGGTGGACAAGTTGTCCAGAGTATACGCAATGATTCTGGTGCTCAAGTTCGAATTTTAAGCAGTGAATATCTACCTCCTTGTGCTCTGAACTCAGATGAACTGATACAGGTGATAAGTCATCTCTTTCATCATGATGTGTCAAATTGTTTTATATTTTGCTAGACTGTAGTTTTTCAATGATGTTTTGATTTGTCCGCTCTTTTTAGTCTGTATTCCTTCGCTGTCCTGCCTCTTGAGTATTTGATTAGAGCTTGAGGATGATGCTTGAAACCTGCTGAACCTTAAGTATTCCCTTGATTGATTCAAATGACATAATGGACGTCTCTCTGCTTAATATCACAGTACAGAAATGTCCTTGATCTGCATAAAGAGCGTACTTGAGACAATTGTGGAATTTATTTCTTTGCCATAGAGGTAGATAAAATATGAATTTAAATCTTGAGTACATTGGGAAAATGGCTTTTCCATTGAGGTACTGAAAATTTCAACCTTCAGTACATCAGGAAATGCATGCCAAAATTTTTGGGGAGACTGATGGTGAATTGGAGATGGATGTTGCATATGCCTAGGCCAGGGGGAGTTAATAAAGCAGAGCAATTTGCCTTTTGGTGGTTGCACTTGTTGTTTGTGTCTTACTATGCCTTGAACCATGTATCTCCTATTCCTGATTTGTTTATGCACATGTATTGTTCATCCAGGATATTCATTACTTGCTTTTGGTCTTTTGCTGAGAAAGTGTTGACATAGTTGTATTTGACAGATTGTAGGGGAAGCATATACAGTGAGGAAAGCATTGTATCAAGTGGCATCTCGTCTTCATGAAAACCCCTCGAGATCACAGCATCTACTCCTATCATCATCTAGCATTTATAGATCTGGCAGTGCATTGGTCAATCCTGGTATAGGTGCCCCATTGATAGGTTCAATAGTGGGTCCTTACAGGGGTTATAAAAATGCTGGAGGAGACCATTCTGGATCTGTAAAGGAGTTCTCTCTTCGTTTGGTGTGTCCAAATGAAAATATTGGATCTGTGATTGGAAAAGGTGGTGCTGTTATTAAGCAAATAAGACAGGAATCTGGTGCATCCATTAAAGTGGATACTTCTGTTGCTGAAGGGGATGAATGTATTATATCTGTATCTGCAAGAGAGGTAAAACTGATTCCGATCTCTTTTTTTAGTACGTAGCTATTTGCTGTGAGATTTGTGTGAAAACAGATAGATTAAATGGAATAATCCATCTGCAATACGATTGAATGTTTTACTTTGATATCTCAGGCTTTTGAAGATGCATCACCCACTATTGATGCTATTATGCGGTTGCAGCCTCGGTGCAGTGAGAAAACTGATAAAGAATCTGATGATCCAATAATTACTACTCGTCTTCTTGTCCCTAGTTCTAGGATTGGATGTCTTATTGGTAAAGGTGGAGCTATTATTAATGAGATGAGAAGTGTTACTAGAGCAACTATTCGCATCCTTTCTGAAGAAAATCTACCTAAAGTTGCATCTGAAGATGATGAGATGGTGCAGGTAGTATAGAAATTTGTGCCAAAAAACATGTCTGATTGGTTAAACAGATCCCTCCATTCTTCCTGCTCTTTTCTACACTGTCAAATTTTGTACCACTTACCATAATGAAGTACATTTAACCTTAAAGTTTCCTGTTCTCCAGATAACTGGGGATATAAATGTTTCAAGTACAGCCTTGTTACAAGTTATGCTGAGGTTAAGGGCCAATGTGTTTGAGATGGAAGGACCTTTAGCTTCGGTTCCACCTGTTCTCCCATATGTTCCAGATGGTGGTGATGTCCCAAGGCATGGCAACCGTAGATCCCATAGTCATGGGTATTCAACTTACTCTGGTGGGCATGATTCCAGAAACCTGGGGCATGAAAATTATGGAGCATATGGTAGTCCGCAGGTAGCAGCTTTTAGCATTCTGAGGCTTGTTATCATTTTAGTGATACAGACCTGTTTATGGTCCTGAGGACAGTTATTTTTTCAACCGTCTAATAGTCTGTTTTATACATTTAAATCTCTGATGAATTCAATTGGAAAAGGTGCTTTATACCATTGATAATTTGTTATCATGTGGTTTGTTGACTTTGTTCCCTTTTGCCATGTGTAATTCTTTTCCCCCTTCAGACTGGTGGTAGAAGTGGGTATGGAGCATATGGCGGTTATTCTAATCGATCTGGTGGTGGCTCTGGGTAATCTATTCTCACCTTCCTTTGTTCATTAATTTTCTTTCCACCTCTCTGTAAAAATTTTCTCCTTCATTGGCTCCAAACTCTTCCATTTCTATTTTATTTTATTACAATAAGCATTCTAATCACGGCGGCTTTTACAATAGGTTCAGCCAGAACCGTGTTTCGCATGGAAAATCCTTTGGTCATTGAGTCCCGGGTTCTCGGTAAGACGGGTTGTACCTTCTTTTTGTGTCTATGTCTCTCTATATGTGTCACAGATACTCTACAATGTGTTTAGCCATGATGTATAGTGGCCTTCTTCACTTAAAATAGCCCTAAACCTCTACATTGATTCTAATACTCGCTCTTTTACCGTTCCTCCTTCCACTAAAACAGCTACAATCTGTGATGCCTGAAGCCAGCCCATTGCCCTTTTGATGATGCCTTCAACTAAGACCTGCAGACCAGCAGCACGAGAAATGAATTTGTTTTCAACTTGCTTTCTCTAGGTGTTAAGAATGTTATTAGTATAAAGATTATGCGCTTTTATGTCTTTGTACCCATTAATACCAATCTTTGTATCCTCTGCTTTTGCATGAAGGATAGTTTGTTTAGACAATCTGTGAACGCGAGTCAGACCGTTTGGTTACGTGTAAACCTTATAGTACTGATAGGTGATATCTGAACATTTTATTTTTATTTTTATTTTTATTTTTATTTTTTTTTGTGGTTCTTAAGAACAAATCAGATTTGCAATAAATTTCCGTAGCTTATTGGTTTGGGGTAGATTCGTATAATTTTATTTTTTGTCTCCGGATACTTCTCTAACCTGCAAAGTTGTTTCAAGTCATAAGTGCAACAGTAACTTAGCCTCAATCCTGCTATGTGGGTTCAGCTGTTTTTATTCTCATGCACCATAAAAAAAAAGAGAGAAAGAAGGGGGGTTGGGGGGGAGATACAGAAAGTCACGAGTTAACTGGGTCCATTAATTTTATTGGGTTTAATTGCTTCCATTCTTTTTCCAGGTGTGCCGATTCAGAATCTTTCCTCTTCAGAGTTAGTGCAGTTGAATGTGTAACCCAAATGCAATGAGGTTCTTTCTTCTGGTTCTTTCTTTTACTTTATGAAGAAAGGTCAAACGGAATGACGTTAGTTCAAATGCTTGTGTTAGATCAGTCATTAATGATTGTTTGAAGGCTTCACCACCATCAACAGTTGTGTACATTAGAATTAACATGCATTAAAGGTTCTGCTTTCACAAAGGTTGTCTTTCTTCTTCTTGAGGGTGTGAGATTTGGTAATAATGTTAACTAGCATACTTACATGACTTGTTTGAGCCTCTGAGAGACACTGAACTTTAATTTATGTTCGAAATAAGAGGTATGCGTGATTAGTAGATTGTCATCTTGTTTGGTACTGACAAATGGCTTAATAGATCAAACTAACGCTCTGATTGTTCGAGAAGTGTCTAAATGTTTGTCAGCTTTGTTGAAACACATTCAGCTATTTGCATGAGAGTTTAAATTGATCCACAAAGCACTCAGATTCGGTGAATTTGTTTGCAGGAAGGGTTTTGTAGGGTTCATTTAGGGAATAGCTGGATGATTTCTCCAATAAATGCCTAATAGAATAATAACTGTGTGATGGAAATTCTCATATAGGTCACATTCAATAGAATTGAGGTACAAAGGTCATTGATTTGAGTTTTGATCCAGTGAGAAGTAGTTACAACATCATCAAATGCTTCTTATGATTGAGCAATAGTTGATGAACATGCCATTGCTTATCCTGGGAAAGGAACTTTGGTTGATGTGTACACATATTCATGCTCACCGGGAAGTTTGGTTTCTTCACAGTGACTTGGATTATCTGGATGAACATCTTCAGATTGTCCATTCCTGCTTTGATCCTTATCAGAAAGGGTGCAGCTGTCATTGCTCTCTTCATGACCTGCGGAGTGATCTAAATGCCTACCATTTGTTAGTTCGATGTATATTATTGATTTTGTAAAATAGTGAATCAGCAGAAATGTTGCTGCATACCTTCATCATCAGCTTCAAGAGCATAAGTTGAGCGCCTTGATCGAATATGATGGTGGGGCGATGGCTGTAAATTATATGGGGAACGCGAGTGCAGGTTATGTAGGAGAATTAGTTTCAGTGTGGGCATCGCTAGTGGGAATGCTAGAACATTAGAGTTGTGCTGGAATAGAAAAAAAAAATAAAAAATCAAGAACCTGCAATTTGGGACGAAGTGCGACAAATGGTCCTTTGCTCTTCTGTATTCCCTGCTGAGAAATTGAAAAACAACAAGGTTCTTTGAGATCTTATCAGGGAAAAAGATGGGACATGTAGTAAAACTTTACCTTTCCCAGTGCCCAATCTGCAGAATCAAAGAAAGCTTGGTCCTGCCAGTAGAGATACACTATTGAGTCTGTAACTGCATTCATTTTAGCTTTAAAAAACAGCAAAGAAAAAGAAAGCCCGTTGCCTGAGGCAATTGGGATTTACTGCAACGGAAATTTTATAACTAATCCAGTTTTTCCTTGAGGGGCCGATATAGTGGCAGCATTGGTGTACCTTGGATATCAGTGGTGGTCTTTTAGGTTTCAACCCTCCATACTTTTTCTTGAGTGCTTCCTCCTGCATGAAGCAAAAATACATAATCAAACTAACACAACTAGACAGAGAATAACTCAGCTTGATTGGCATTTGAGCAACTCCTTGGGTTCACTTGATGGTTTATATCATCACCTCTTGTTCTTCGTAGGTTGAAGGATCTTTCTTCTCCGGATCAGAACACTTTGCATCTTCGTCATCCATTAGTTGGTCCTTATTGTCGTAGTGATCCTCAGATTTTGTATCTGACATTAAGTTCGAGTCCTCGATAGCGACACCTTAGGAAAACCTAGAATTTAGTTTCATCACAGAAATATGTGAATTGCTCAGGTAACTGTTGGAGGAGGAATACCTGAGTGGTTCATCGTGAGTCACTGAAACTTCCTCGGTCACCAAAAATTGGAAAATTCAGTGATGAGTGACGGACTGCAGGAGATTGGAAAAAAGAACACAAAGGTTGCGTAGCATCTCATTTCCAGTAATATTCGTGAGGGCCCAGATTCGAAATGCCGTTCATGGTTCTTGGTTTGTTTTGTAGGGAATAATTGAATTGGGAGACTCACTATAGTTTGAACCACTATATGCTACATACTGATTACATATTATTCCAAAATCCGTGAATTTTTTTTAATAATTGTCGAATTGTTCGATCCTGCATTTTCTTTTTAGAAGAATCTAATTAAATAATTATGAATGTTTATTTTCATTCTTTAACAAATTTTCCGGGCAAAATTGAGCCATCGGGCATCCTGCATGCCGGTTAACTCTGGCTATCAATTGTGGAGACCCTGGGATTAGGATCTGATTCTGCAATCGACCAAATCCAAACTAAAGTAAAGCTCATTAGTATACAGTTCTAGTGTAATTTTTTTTTTTTTTTTACGTTCCTCCCATTTTAACTTCCCATTTTGTTAATCTTAAATTGACAAAAAATTTCGTTTACTCCAACTACTACATCGATACTCAATTAATGAATATATATATATATATATACATATATATATATATATATTACTTTAAAAGTTCAACTGTTTCGTGCGTACATTATTTCTAAATCTAAATGGATCAGTTAGAACTTGGAAGTGGGAATGACATATTCTCAGTTTATTCAACCATAGTACAGTTCTATGTCTGGAAGTAGTAGAGCAGGTGAGCTTTGAGATTCGTCCCAGAAATGCACTAACCTTAACATTTTGCAGAAATGGCAAAACAAAATTAGGCTCGAAAAGCAACCTCTAGTTGCGCATGTCATCATGCCTACTACTCCACAAATCTTCCTCACCATTTGTGGGATTTGAAAAAATCCAATTAGTTCTTACATATGCACTTGAATCATCACTATAAATTCCGGCTTTTGTTTGAGCTTCTTCAATCAAGAAGAAAGAGGCAAAAATATCTTACCAACTAGATTAAGGTTTAGAAACAAAATCACTGTAGCCAAGGATGGATGCAACAACAACCAAGGCAGTGAAGCTTGAGGCTGCAGAAAGCAGTTACAGAGCCAAGGGAAGTACCAGAGGGATCTCTATCTTTGATCTCGTTCTTCGAATTGTGGCGATTGTTGGGACTCTGGGAGCTGCTGTTGCCATGGGAACCACTCAACAAACACTTCCCTTCTTCAGCCAGTTCGTCCAATTCCAAGCTCAGTATAATGATATCGATACCTTCACGTAAGTGATCTCTCATTTTGCCATACCTTATGGTTTCTTGGTAAAAGTCCTTTGTCTTAGAAGAACCAAGGCCACATTTTGATAACATTACGTTTGGTTTTTGAAGGATGTTTGTGATTGTCAATTCCATTGTTTGTGGATATCTTGCTCTATCTCTGCCACTGTCCATCTACCATATTGTCCGGAGCCGGGCTGGAAAGAGTAGGGTTCTGCTGCTCCTGTTGGACACGGTAATGAGAATTTATGTTGTTTTCGAGACATTCTTCCCTGCTAACTACTTCCTGAATTTCTAGATTAAGATCAAGATACTAACATTTTTAAGTATGTTTAACTCTGACTCTGGTAGATAATTCTATGCCTTCTTACCGCGGGAGCTTCAGCAGCAGCAGCAATCGTATACTTGGCGCACAATGGGAATTCCTCAGCTAATTGGTTTGCAATATGCCAAAATTTCCAGGACTTCTGTCAGCGCAGCTCGGGCGCTGTGATTGGTTCTTTTGTCGCAGTTGCCGCCATTAGTCTGCTCATCATTCTATCTGGATTTGCATTATCCAGGCGCTGATTCCCTTGGAAGCGGGACCTGTAACAATGTTCTCGCGTGTGAATCTTCTCAGCTTGTTGAACTTTTAAATCACTTGTGCTTTCCCTGTGTTCATGAATTTTTATAATCTCTCTGTACTCACAATTTCCTGAACCATATGAATTGTCAAGTGTCTATTATCACATCCATGTGTACCATTGATTTCATCGCGGTCCAATCAATTCATCTTCCGAGTTGCAAAATCTCCTCTTAATTCAAGCCAAAATCAAGGGCTGTTATTCATATTAGCATTTAACAAGAAGCTAGATACAGGGGAATTCATTTGTACAAGATATTGAGGCAGACATGACATAAAAAAAAGCAGAAGAAGATTATCCATGATCCTAACTTCTGAACCAGGCTAACAAAGATTTCGCGAATCGGCAACAAAACGGATTACATATAGCTCGAAATTCAAAGTAATATAATACATGTATATCTTCAGTCCATTGCCTTTGCTAACTTCTTGTTAAGACAGCAATGCTACAAGATCATCAATTGAATTGAGACACTTCTCATAGTATAAATACGACTCGTAAACCTTGGGCGATCGAACATATTCATCCAACTGAAACACAAAACAAAATTTTTCACCACGGGTGCTAATTGACTTCAAGACAGAGTTGCATCAGATTCTGAATTAACAACAGATGGAAAAAGTTTTATAGAACCAAAAAAAAAAAAAAAAATAGTACCTCATTCATATTGTCGACCAACTCATTGGCTTTGGCAACGTAGGATTTCCACTGGCCTTTGGGAATGGTAGTAATCGCAATCTTCATGTCCCGATTAAGATAATCCTGTTTCTGCCGGATGTAATACAGAACATACTTCCAGGACATGGTTTCCAGCATTTCCCTGAGGCTGTGAAGCCCTTGAGCCGTTTGCCGAATCCGGGCCGCCGCATCTTCGGGAGACAAGCTCGGCGAGAAGTATTTCTCCCATATGAACGAACGGTTGCCCCAATTCTCCGCCATTGCCGGCGGGATTCCGGCAACCAAGGCCGCCATTGAAGTAGTAGCTAACAGAGTGGTGATAATTTTACGCCGCCTCAGGGTAGAAACATGATTGGTTTCCTCATTGGAAGACAATGTAGCTTGGATTTTTGGGACTAATAATGGAGATTTATGATTACGATGATGATGATGGGTTTCGGATATCTTGAATTGAGAATTGAGCAGAGTTGTGGAGTTCATCATAATTGTTGTGAACATTTAGATAAGAGAGTTTTTTTAGGAAACGGGGAAAAAACCAATCAGGCGCGCTTTTTTGTCCAAAGAAACAACATGCTGTTGGAGCCTTTGCTTTTGCTGACATGGAATACCTTATCTTCTCTATTTTATTTTACCATCATTTCTTTTTCTCTTTTTGCTTTCCCTCGTGTAAAATGCCAATTAGAGGAAGCTGCATAATTTTGATCCCTTAAATGTTTACAGTTTATTCAGCAAAGTTGCACATTTGAACCATTTAATGAAAATTTTAGATTAGCTATGAGCTTAAAATTTTTAAAATAATCCAATTTTTAATATTTCATTTTTAACTAAGGTTGTACGGTGTATGTTTATAGTTTCTAAACTGATAATTTGCTAAAATAGAAAGGGAAAAAGAAAAAAAAATTCTGTCCAAAATGCAGCCGTTTGGAATTTTGGTCCATTTGGAATTGGATCAGTTTATTCTCCAGTTATTGAGGGCTGAAAGGATGGAGAAGGCAGCCCGACTAGAAGTAATCAGCCCTTTTTTTTTCTTTTTTTTTTTTCGAGCGATTATCATAATATATTAAGAAAAAACAGTGAGTAATACACAACCACAAAAAGTTGAGTTAAAACAACTAGTCATTCTTGTCAAACCTAACTACAGTAGATAAGATACTGACTCAATCATGTGTATAACTCTATGCCTAACTAGTTAAGTTGTAATAACTTCACTGATTACAGAGAGAAAATATTACAATCGACAGAAGGACGCGAAGAGAACTAATATTACAAAAAAATATCAACTATACATAATCTAACCTACGCCGTAGATCTAGATCTAGATCCCAGATCAAAGACGCTTATAAGACTTAGACCTATAGCAGATCTCCCCCTGTTGATCTTCAGATTTTATGTATATTTCCATCACCTTCAATCGACTATAAATCTTCTCTCGTTCATAAGATCTGTTCATAAACAGACTAAAAAAGAGTCGAAAAATCTCTCAAAATGAGAAAAGCAAGACTTCCAAAAAACAAGAAGCACAAAAACTCCTATGAAGAGGAGACTAAGTAATAGAATATAAAAACTAAATCTTAAAAAAAGGGAGCTTAATGGTGGATGGGGGAAAGAAGAAAATTTGCTGTGTGGGGGGCGGCTAGAGAGGAGAAGAGGAATAGAGAGAAGGAAGAGGGAGAGTATGTAGTAGGAAACACCTTTTAACTCTATGTGTGTCAGTGTGTGTGTTTTGATCTCTATTCAATTTGTATTGCCTACAAGATTCTTATAGATAGATGCTGGCGAAATGGTTGGAGCTTGATTGATTTGAAGTGAAGTATTTTTAGGAAAACACAGGTTATGCTTGTTACTTGTGACAATAAGAACAAACTGTATCCCATCAACAACTCAAACAATGGTTTAATAAGAATTCAGAAATTTCTCAACAATCAATGGTCTGTGGTCTTTTTGCACACCTGCAAGCATGGCAACGATTCAACGAATTTGCTTGCCAAATTTGGTTTCGATTGTCCGCCGGAAAAGCACATCTTGTCTTACCCCTGGCTATCACGTCTTAAATTATATAAGTCTAGATAAAATTGTTCTATTCCAAAAATCATAGGGTCTTGTAACTTAAGCATTATGCTTCATTCATATATATACAAAATTATATATATATATATATAAACATACCATATTAAAGGACAAAATTAGCCACAAAATTGTCACACGTTGAAATTGGTTAATTCTTTACAAGTTCGTCAAAAATTGTTCAATTTTGATGGCACGAGTCACAGTAAAAGCTAAGAAAAGTTGAAAACATATGAAAACATATTGAAGACAAAATAAAAAAATATATATATTTATATATTTCAAATTAATATAAAGGAGGTAAAGAAAAAAAGGAAAGAAATAATTGGAAAACAAATTAGATTTCTGACATAAGGTTTGCATGTTTATGATTATAATACGTAGTAAAGTGAAAACATATGAAATTTGAAAAACAAATAGAACTTGATGCTTCAAACATTTTTTTTTAAAAAAATCATTTTTATTAAGAGAAAATTCAGATTACCATATATAAAAAATTGAAAAAAATATCATTTCATTTTGTACTAAAAATAAAAAAAAAAAGTTTGCGGAGAAAAAAATTATCACGAAAAATAAAATATTTATTTGTAATAGTTTATTCGTGAGGAGTATTTGTTTAATTAAAATACTATATGAACTATTTTTCTATTAAAGTTTTGAGGAGTTTTATCGCATTCGTGATTTAGAACTTCAGATACCCATTTTAGCCTTTTTAGCAAATTACCTTCTCGTTTCTCTTTCCTTCCTTAACTGCCATTGCCAAAATTTACTCCATCACCGCCTCTATCGCCTCTAAATGAATTTCTGATGGAGGTTGCCGCGAATAAACACCTGCATCACCATCCATCCACCTCCTGGTTTTGCCTCCATTGTCGCTATTTTTGCGAAACCATTATTTATTTTGTAAAGCTAAGTCCACCCTAACTGCTTTTTTTATTTGTCAATGTCACTGCATATTTGAAATGGCAACTGCATGTGACAATCATCTTGTCAAATTTCACTGATCATCCATTATTATTTAGGAAAGTAATTCTATAATTTAACAAAGTACATCTATAATTTAGGAAAGTGGCTATAATTTAAATTGTGACTCTATAATTTAGTAGAGGGACTCTACAATTTAGCAAAGTATCTCTATAATTTAGCAAAGTGGCTCGACTTGACAATTTAGTAAAGAAAATCTATAATTTAACAAAGCGACTCTATAATTTAACACAGTACATCTAAAATTTAGAAAGATGACTCTTCTGTATTTTATTTTATCATAATTTCTCTTTTCCCTCCTCATGTAACGCCAATAAGAGGAACCTGCATAGTTTTGATCCATTAAAAGTTTACAGTTTATTCAGAAAAGTTACATATTTGAACCATTTAATGAAAATTGTAGGTTAGCTATGAGCTTAAGATTTTTTAAATAATTCATTTTTATTATATATATATATATATATATATATATAAATAAGACTCTTATGCAACGTTAAAAAACCCAACAACCTTAGTTATATACAGCATGTAAGAACTCTTATCCCTGGACTCAAAAAACCAAAAAATCGGTAAACGCAAACATTTGGTTTTTTTGAGGATTAAAATTTTACACTTCGATTAAAAGTTTCTGGAGCTAAACTGATAATTCGCTAAAGATCAAGAATAGAAAGGAAAAGAGAAAAAGAATTTGCAGTCCAGAATGAGGCCCTGTGGACTTTTGGTCCATTTGAAATTAGACCAGTTTGTTCTCCAGTTATTGAGGGCTGAGAGGATCCAGAAAGCAGCCGGACTAGAAGTAATCAGCCCATATTCTTCGGTTGCATCTTTGATCAATTTGACACCCTCTTTCTAATTCTCTCTCAGTGTGTGTTGATTCCTGTTCAATTTGTATTGCCTGCAAGATTCTTATAGGTAGATGTTGGCGAAATGGTCGGAGTTTGATTGGTTTTTAGAAATCCCATTCTGCATATATTTTGAGTCTAATTGTTGATGGGTTTTGTGGGATTGATTCATGAAACAGAGGGACACTGTAAGATTACTAGCTATACAAAATAGGAACTCTTGCTGCTTTTTTTCTTTCATAAATGAAGCACTCAAAATGTTGTTATGGTGGTACAGTACAAAGTTCGGTTACTTGAAAAACAACATTTGCTAGTTACATTCTCTCTGTGCTCATGAGATCGATCTCCTTCTTGAGTACATTTAAGGACGTCTGGAAACTAAAACTTTTAACCCCTTTTCCATGGATAAGATTGTCATCATCCTGTACTTCACACAATGCCCTGGCACCAGCTTGAATCTGTAGAACCTGCATATAATGGCCAGTGCCATCTTCATTTGTAAATATGCAGAATCCTTCCCCAGGCATATTCTTGGTCCAGCCTGCAAATTAAAGTGAAATTAATCAAAAGACTTACAAAGTAACAAATAGTTATTGAAAAAAATGGTTAACTTAGAAGGTAATGCTTTATATACCTGAAATGCAGTGAATTTGAATGGAGATTCACTTTGGAAGCATCCATCCTTAAGCCATCTCTCCGGTTTAAACAAAGCCGCATCAGGACCCCAATTGTACTCCATTCTGCCCATTGAGTATGGAACATATGTTACCATTCCTCCTGATTTCACCTTAGTTCCATCTGGCAATATGTCATCCTCCAGGATGCCCTTTGGATCCTGTAGGAAAAAATGGCCAATTCTTAATTTGATGATTTAACAGTATTGAAAATATTTAGTCTGTTGCTAACTCCTAACCTGAGGGACTGCGGGATATAATCTTAGTGTTTCTGTAACCACAGAATGCAAATAATGCAGTCTCCCCAGTGATTCATAACTAAGTAGCTCTGCAAATTGAATAACTCTCCGATTGAAGGACTCGGAATCATCGCTCTCATATGGTTCAATCATGATGTTTTCTTCATTTGCCTTAGATTCCTCTAAAGCTATCAGTTCTGAGTAAAGCTTTTCCGCAACCTCTTCGTGAGTCATAACCATGTATACAGCCCAAGAAAGAGTCGTGGCGGTCGTGTCGCGCCCCGCGATAACGAAATTCAGGACGACATCTCTCAGGCTTTTGTCAGTCATATTGTTTTCGGGATCTTTGCCTAGCTCGATGAATCGCGATAGTATATCGTGTTTTTTAATCTGATCATTGTTGTTCAAATCATTAGTTAAGTCTTAAGTGGAGTACTCTCTTCGTCTCAAAATTATTGTCCAGTTTGAGTTTTTATTTTTAGTCAAACTGGAAGATAATTTTGGGACAGAGAAAGTTTACTCCTTTAGCTTAATCTTAAATTAACCATCTTTAATATTTTTTTACCTTGTCATCTTTATTTGCTTCTTGAATCTCTTCTATCTCAGCTTTCCTTCTCCGAATGACAGAATAAGTGAAATCATCTATGATTTTAATGCTCTGGTCAAGAACAGCCTCTGATCCCACATTTAGAAACTTCTTTAACTTCCAAAGTGGATCAATGAACCTCAGAGTCACAATGATATTTGCTGTGTCAAAAGCAGTGGCAAATCGATTATCAGGTAACTCTGGAGTCAAAGTTCCAATTTCTACACCAAATCCCACCTTACAGATAGAGTCCAAAGTCATCCTCATCAACAATTCCTGGAAGAAAAAGATTAAAATGGTTCGGTTCTTCAGCTTTCACAATCAGTCAAAAGTAGTATTTGCAAAGGACAGATGGCCTCAAAATAACTGGATATCACATTGACTCTGGCTTTGTCCTCTGTTTTTTCTAGTGGGAAAACGATGGACTAATAATAATCCTCTTAAAAAACAACAACCATAAAACTGTACGTAATTTCATGTCATTGGCTTTTTATAAGATGCATTGCTTCCACGATTGTTCATTCATTGTGTGTGTTATAAAAATAAAAGGAAAAATGAAATGAATGTTATGGTGCAGCAGTCAACCTCACCTGCATGTCAATTTCCTGGTTTTGGAAAGATGTTTTGGTCAAAATTCCAGAGAGTTTAAGGCTATAATCTCTGAAAACAACTGTACTGAAGTCCCTTAAGTTCTTTGAAGCAAACTCAAAGCTTGCTGTCTTTCTTTGTCTTCTCCACTTCTCTCCATCAACATTAAAGATCCCATCTCCAAGCAGCACTTCCATATAGGAATGATACGTCTCGCCCTGTTTTTTTCATTTGAAAAGCAGCAAAAAAAAAAAAAAAAAAAAAATTAAAGAAAGAAAAAAGGAGAAGCTTTTATCTACATCAATAAGAATTATTCCAATGCCAGCCCACACTGCATTAAATGCACAAAAAAAGAGATGAAAACTACACATAGAAATCCTTTGAATATTGGGCCCATAAACAAGCGATAGTCTTGCTAAAGTTTCAAACCATATTCATTTAACGTGGTACAGTCGATGTATGAAATATCGTCTCGCACGTTTACATCTGAAAATTTTAGAGCTCCTAACTAGCATCCATGTGTCCAATCTGTACACAGTCCAACTTACTGAAATGGCATGATTCTTTAGACTTAAAAAGAAAGGGAAGAAAGGGACATAAATTCCCTCAAAATAGATAAGAAGGCAAGAATGATGGCTTAATTATATATATCATCACAACTAAATAGAAATGATTCATATATATACCTTAGGATAGTTTTGGAAATTGGATTTAAGGACATGTTCCACATTGATCGGATCGGCAATGTAAGTGTAAGTGGTGAAGGGCATGGGGACCACAACGGAGGACTTTGACTGGGCCAGATAATTGAGGATCCAGTCATGCATCTGGTCGTAGTTCCATAGCTGTTCAATGGCTGCTCCTACAATTGGCCACGTCTTCGGACCACCTTTTACGTTCCATTGCTTCAACCTGTGAATCAATACCCATGAGATTATCATTACCAGACAAGCTGTGATAAACAACAACGTTTGATGATGAGATCCCTCGTGATCATCATCGTCATCCTTGTTTGATGAATCCACATAAAATGGAATGTGCTTCATTTTGTTTTCCATTTTAGAAAATATTAATCGAAGGTTGAGGAGGGTTCAGAAAAGGGGGATATTATTTTTGTTGTTAATAACAAATTAAGAAAGGGTTTTTGTGAATTTCGATCTCATTATATACGATGTTTAAGTAGTAAAAGAGTTGGTGAAAATTGGGTTTTGCTGGTTCTTTAGCTATGATTTCGTAAAACCATCTTTGTGTGGTCTAACTGATGAGTTGTTACATACTCTTGGTGATCCTAACCTAACTATTCTGAACACAATTAGTTTCTTGAGGCAAATTAATCAGAACTTTATAACTGATTAAAAATAATCAATATCGAGAATTTTGCATTTACAAAGTTGATAGTATGTAACGGTAGAGATTGACCTCACATTTGATTAGCCAAGAACGTTAAGGTTTGTGAATATTTGAGACAACTGAGAGTATCGATATTCTATAAAGTCTTCTAGATTTTTTGGAAATAAAATAAATTGAATGATAAATATACCCTTAAAACAATTTACTAATAAAATAAATTATTAAAGTGAAACGTAAAGAAAGAGTAATCTTACCTACGCTTCCAAATACAAAACCAAGATTACGTACATCTCCTTTTTGTCATCTGCTTATTAATCTTATTTTCCACGACCGAATGGAAAGGTGGCGGCTGTGAAAGACTGACAAGTAGTTGATGAAGAAGATTAGTTATAAAAAAATAAAAAATTCCACATATTAATGTTTATAGTAAAAAAAATTAAGCTCCCAAATGTTGGCGGACCGAACCTTGACGGCGATAACTCTTGTGTCATGCACTACCGGACAAAACAAAAGTTTAAAACCTATAGCATTTCTGGTAATGGGGCCTGCACTTGATACTTATCCCAAATTCCTACCCCTTTATTAATTACAATTTACAAATGAAAAAAAAAAACTTGTTAATTGATTTCGAAAGTTCCTCCTATTATATATATATATATATAATACTACATCTGTCACAGAAAAATATTCCACATTTATTTTTGAAATTTCAAAACTCAATGTGCACAAATTTTCTGAGAAGTTCAAATTTTCGTAACGTTTTTTAGAACGAATAAATATCAATGAAAAATTATAAAGATTATCATCCTTCTCTATATCTTCACAAAGCGTTTGCAAATTATTTTTGATGTAATGGAATATTATGGATGCATACGTTCAAAATCTATATTATTTTTGTACATGTCTCGTGGTTCGAATCTCCAGTGACATTTTAATGGTAAAGTTTATGGAGAGTTTGTTCGCATGATATTGATGAGTTTCAAAGCATAAGTCTAATCCATGCATTATTGGGATGATTTTTAAGTCCAAAAAATATCAAAGTCGAAATCAAGAGCTTTTTGGCTCGTGGCTCGTGCACGCACCTGAGTTCTTGACTTTATATTGGCACTGTCACTCAAAAGAAATTTAAAAAGACAGATGGAATATTGTTGTGCTCTAGTCTTTCATTATTTCTGTGAATTTTCGTTTGTGTGCTTTGACTGATTAACTCGTCTCGCCTCATCTCTTATTGGTCAATTAACTTTTCGATTTGTTGCTTGTTAGGTCAGCCTATGAAGGTACGAAATACTCCCTTCACTCTAAAATAACTAACATCTAAAAATAAAATAATATTCCATTAATCCTCCAAAAAAATAATTTAATTCGCGCGAATTATTAAATTTGTATCAAATTATTACTACAATTTACAAATCTCAAAAACTTTTTTTTTTTAAGAGAATATTACGTTACAAGCATGCACAGCCCCTTCTTTACTTTTATTCTTTTCTTTTTGTTTAAAGAAAACGTGGAATCATGACATACACAATAGGAAGGGATAATGTATATTACTTCATGGGGGGAGCTTCGCTAACTCCATATCCTATGTAATATACCTCATCCGCTGGCCCTAGCTTGATTAGATTGAATATTTAATTATTAGTTTACTTAATTACAATACTTTTGGTCAATCTCGTACGTACTATATATCATGCATGATCTCATCATTCACTAAGGTTTATTTGGTAATCTCCTTTTTGTTATTTAAATTACTCCGAATATATATATATATATATATATATATATATATATATATCCCATAAGCTACAAGTATTTTTGATAGTTTAGGAAGTATGAGAAACGAGAGAAAAATTTTTGTTAGAAAAATGATCGATATACTATCCTTATATTAAAAAATAATTCACATTTTTAATACAAATATCAAAACTTAATTTGAACTAACTTTTAGGATAGAACAACACCAATTAATTGGCGGTAGACATTCATCCTCCAGTCCTATAGGTCACATTGGGAGGCTGAAATTATCATAACGTGTGTACACCGTGTTTTGATTAGGTACTAACAGCTGACTTATCCACTTGAGGTTTAGTTTAGTTCAGACAAAGAACTTGTTAATCCAGTAGTTTTAGAGACTCGGTCTGTGATATATATTGTTTACGAGTTAACATCTTATCTCTTTTGTCCCAAAATGAATATTTTGTTAAAATAACATAACATTGCAAATATAAATAAATTAAAATCTTGTTTAATAAATTAAAATAACATTGCAAATATAAATCCTAGCATATATATATGTATAAATATTTTGTTAGAAGAATTTTGTTTCTCGAGAAAGATCTTTACTACCTTACCCAATCTGGATTGGACGAAAGAATAATTTCAGACATTATTAAAGTGACTCTTCTTTTAAATGAAGAAAGGAATTTTTCATAACCTAAAATGATTTAATAAAACGGAATATTAACATTATTTATGTAGGGTTTGATATCCATGACATACAAACAAGGAGATCCCAATCGAAAAATAAGAAGAAAATAATGAAATAGTAAAAGATGCGAAAAAAATGTCGAAGTCGAAGGTAGAGTCAGGCCTGATCCTGATCCATGCAGCCAAGCTAACCGTAACAAACATTGTGGTGGAGACGTCAATCAATCAATCGATTAAAGGCATAATTTTACGTGGTTGGCCTTTTGAATCTATATGTTACATTTTTCCTCAAAAAAATTTAAAATGTTTGTGATTTTTTTTTTTTGGCACGAAAAAGGAGGCATATGCGTATACTATGATACTATTACACTTCGTTGGTATGAAACTCCGATAATGTCGTGTTCCAACTAAAGTGTTGCACCTATCGATACTTCATCAAGTTGCACCAAACCACCCGGCACCGTATAAGCTAATGAGGCCAAATGTTTATGATTCTAATAGTAGCTTAATTATTGGTTTTTGATGACTGGAGTTCTAATTGGATCATCTAGGATGTCATCATATATTAAGTAATGATAGAAATAATGATAAATTCATCGACTAAAAAAGGAAAAAAGGAACCAAATTAAGGCACTGTTTATGATATTTCACACTTGTAAAGTTTTATATTCTCATGTGTTTATGAACCTTTTCACATGATTAATTCATTGTCTCTATAATTTAGCAATCCTCATTATGCCAGAGTGACTTGGAAACTATTCCTACTTGATCACACAGATTTGCTTAAAGCAGTGATCATATAAGTTTTGGAAGGACATGAAGATATTTTATTTAACAAATTTATTAGATAGGTAATTAAAATTAAATTTTTAATTACAATTTGGAATCCTTATCTTCCCCCCTAAGCTAAAGCAGCCCGATGAACCAACCCCACAAGCCGCAAATTGGGCCAATCCCTGAATTTCAAACAAAATGGTGAATATTCTTCTTCTGCTACTATCAAGACTGGAACTCAAAAATCGGGTTCGCATAAACCGGCTGGTTCATCATCATCATGCTATTATGCCCATTGCCATTCCCATACTGATTATGATGGTATGGAACTTCCCCTAATTGCTGTTGTCTTGTCGAACCCTGATTCCCATTCCCATTGTTTGTGATTAGTACGTTTTGGTCCATATACGAATTTTCGCCAAAGATTTGTGGAATTGTCGCGTTCATATACTCCATTTCCCATAGATGGGATAAGGAACAAATTCTAGGGAATTTCTGTGACAATTCATGGCTGCCAATTGTGTCTCCAGAAGCAATTGTCTCAGTACTTAGTGATTGATCTTCCTCTTTGATTTCCATACTTCTTCCCAAATTCTTCTTTTTGTAGATTCTACAAAGAACCCAATCATCCAACTGCAATTTTACATTTAAAAAAAAAAAAAAAACAAAACCAACAATTTATTAGTTACACTTTCTGTAACACTATTTTGTTATAACAAAATAATCAAATGAATTAAATTTGACTTACCCGCATGGAATTATTGTGGTGCTTGATGGATTGCGATCTTGATGATTCACTTAATCGATACTCATGCATAATCCAATCAGTTTTGACACCTTTTGGAGGTCTTCCCTGGTAGAAAACAAGGGCTTTCTTCACACCAACATATTTGGATCCACTGTAAATAGATTTATCTGTTCCCGTGGCCTTCCAATAACCTGATACAGCCGCTCTGTTGGGACGAACTCCATTCGGGTACTTTCTGTCTCGTGGAGTGAAGAAATACCATTCATTTTCGCCGAATTCGGTTTTCTCTGCATTAATGAAAACAAAATATTGTTAGTATGTATACATACCGTAAATAATGAAAAGGGTTGTTTTTGATGACTAGAAATTATTCAAGTGTGACACGATACTAATTAGTACTAACCAGGCAATTCCCAAGGATCGAACTTATAAATGTCAACTTCAGGGATGATTGAAACGGGGCAAGGCTTTGATACAGCTTGATTTCGTAGGTAATACATGATTAATTCTTCGTCAGTTGGATGGAATCTAAAACCCGGAGGAAGATCAGAACTGTTTGTTCCTACCATTTTGGGTTTCTTTTTTAAAGCAAATTTTTGAGAAATTATGAGTTGATGGCTAGCTAGGAAAAGGAGAGGAAGGATAGGAGAAACTAAGAAGCAGAGGAGAAGAAGGAAAGGTTTTGAAATGTTGGAAAGGAGAGGAGTTGGGAATTTATTGAGGAAGGGGATTTTGTCGGGATGCATGATTACATCACAAGAGATAGGTTGTTTTTGACTTTGCATACCTAGGATGATGAGATGGAAAGACTTGCATGCCCCTCCCAATATACCCATACTTAAGTTACTTGCTGGATTAGGCAAAATGCTTTACTCTTTCTTCTACCTATGGATAACATTTCAGAATAAGAATATCCCCCTTTAGTATATTTCTCCCCTTTCTCTTCTTATTCTTTTGTGTATTGTGCTGCTTTAACAAACTTCTTCATTCCATGTGTGAACGTGAACCCAGTTTGAGCTCGATAAGTGTTCTTTTAATAGTTCATATTTTGATATTGTATGTTATACGAGATTTGTTATAATTAGTAAGAAACGCACGTGTAAAGTCTTTATCAATAATCTCTTAGTTCTAATAAACTTAAGCCGCGTAACAGTCTAAATGTTTAAATGAAATAGAAATTGTTGATACTATTTTCTCCACATTTTCGAAAATGGTTTGATTAATTTTCTTTTGCCATTTTTGGGGGGGGATTTATTCAGTCAAAGTATTGGTGGAAGGCAAAACAGAATTTTTGGACTGGCAGCTGGCTTAAGACTAAAAACAAACTGATGTTCTGGGTTGCTTCCTTGTGCAAGAGATGAACTCATGGCGTGGCAATTCAGCACATGGAATTGGAAGGAATTAGTCACATTTTTCTTCATTTATGTGTTCAAATTCCAAGTGTTATCTTTGAGATATTTAATGCCACACTTTATCCAAACCAAGAAGCTACCTCTTCACTTACACTAATCAAAGAATTTGACTTCCTGGGATTAACCCAACTCTATTTTTCTCGCAGCAGTTAAACCTGGAAAATGTCAAATTCCTTTAATTTTTATTCCCCGAAGCAGAAAGAAAGATTTATAATGAATATCGATATAATGCTATAAATCAAAAAATACAATAAACAAGAGAGATAATCTGGTCAGGCTATTGGTGATCGGTGGAATCATATCAATATATGATTATGATTACGATCAGTTTCCTTCAGTAAACTAGCTAGCCATATATATCCCGGCTTTCTTGTTTCACAAGTTCCTAAATTATTTGTACGAAGCAATAAAGCAAATTGAACATCCAAATTGGTAATAACAATACAACAATTTTGCAGTCAATAGCGTGAGGAGAGGAGAGGTTACCCATGATTAACACTAATTATATCTCTTTCGCTAATGCTTCCTTTAAAAAATCATTGTCCATCTTGGGTAATCTCGTGCATCATCATAAAGGAAAGCCTCCCAAAAGTAGCAATCAGGCCAAGTTCACGCATTGACACGCGTCCACTAATTTGAGGCCTTTAAAGGGAAGGAGAAGATAAGCATCATAACAAAAGAAAATAAAAAAATAAAAAGATGGAATAATGGGACAGATGTAGTTGAGTTTTTGGTGGTTCTTATCTGCCCACCTCAACACCAATGGGGTCTCTTTTTAATCCCACCACAAAGAAGATGGAGATGATCCAAGGTTAATTTCTTAATTAATTACTTTGCCTTAGTATGTATATATATATATATATATATATATTTAAATGTAGATCATGAGACGCTCTAATCAGTATATATCATTCAAATTAATTTTTTCACAATGTGAAAAGAACAACAGTTAAGGTCAAAAATTTCTGGGACGTTAGTTTTTTCATTCACTTGACTCTAACTCGAAACTGATACTTTAACAATACCAAACTCCTAATTTAACCATTTGGCCTAATGATATATTCCTTCCGTCCCAGAAAAATAATCCATTTTGAGTTTTCAAATTTAATGTTAAAATAAATAAAAATATCAAAACTAAATGTGGATTATTTTTTAAGGACGGAGGTAGTACTATTCTATCTATATATTATGAGTGTAAATAGTTTGTCTAGCCTTTGATCATTAATGTCAACATTCTACCATATCGTTTCGAGGCACGTGTTGAGGGTTTTAAATTTTAGTCATTTGGGATCAGCATCACTTTTTAGTAGTACTTAAGCTTTTGATTTAATGATTCCATTTGAGGTTTCCTAATAGTTTATTGAGAGAATTATTGGACAGAAAAGTACGACGCCTTTTAGACGAGATTGATATCGAGTAGTTTCTTCTTTTATTTATTTTTTAGGTATCTAATTGGCTATTTGGCACCTTACCTTTGCCATTAGATTAGAGTTAAAACTCTCGACCTCTTCTTAATGGATAGTGGGATTCACACTTGACGCTATCTTTAGTCACTAAATGTGCAAGTGTAACACTTTGATTTACACATACATCAAATCGATTATTTTTTAAAAAAAGTTTTTTTTTTTTAGCTCAAGTTATTGACAAAGAGACAAAATTCTAAAAATTTAATTAATACATTATGTGATTAAAAAAAACAAGATATGACATGAGTACAATGTTTTGTTGTTGGCGTCCCATTTATGCATGCAGGCATAGCTGTCTAAATTGTTTCGATAAAGCACTTTTATCTAATTATTTATCTTTCATCCATCCATAGGTTCTTCATTATTTATTTATTTATTTATTTTTTCTCATTCACTACTTTTTTTGTGGACGAAATATGAACTTTTTTTTTTGGCATCTTTTTACTTACCATTTATTGCATGGTTAAGATAAAATTCTAGAGGAAGAAGAGAATATCAAAATAAAAATGGTTTCACACTATATTACTACATGATTAGATTAGAGCAATGGCATTCATTTCGAAACCTCTCGTTCTTTAATTTCTTTATCTCTTTACACAAATTATCAAGTAGTACAGTCACATAATCATACGTAAATGAATATGAAGAAGGCAGTTGTAGTACATAAGTGATTTTTCCGCCATGTAAAATGTCATTGTAATTAAGCTCATTCCCCCATAATTGAAACCTCTTAAATAATTCACGCAAAGTGTGATATCATGTTTTGGCCCCAAGGAAGTTTCCCGTTCTGGAAGGGTTTCTATTATGAAACAAACATGAAAAGACATGAACAAACGATAACGTTAGTAGCAAAAAAGCAATTAAGATAAACTTCTTTATACTTACTAAGATAAATTAAAAAGAAGTGAGTGCAACATTCTAAATTGACACATCAACCAAAGTGCTACACAATCCAAATCTGTCAAATAATTAGGTTAGAACTGGGGATGGGTTAAAGACTTTTGACTGGTTGGTTTGCGCATGCAGGCCACGCTTATTCCACCTATATATGAGATGCCTTTTTTTTTCCCCCTAATTATTCTATGATTAATCATGCTTTTGGATAAGAGTATAAGACTATTTCTTAATTAAATACTCTTTTTTTTTTACTTTAATTTCTCTCCACAAAGTTGTTTTATTGGAGACATTTTTCCTTGCGAATATCATATTAAAAAACGTAAATAATGAAAGACCAAAGAATATACTGCATCTGGATTCCGGACTAATTAGCTAGTTTGAATATGATTGAAGCTAAGAAGGTTGATGTTGCTTTCCGATTTATTTATTCTAATAATTGAACGGCGTAATTCGATGAGTACTACTATTTGGTTTTTTTTTTTTTTTTAATTCTTTGTGCATAGAAGTTTTCCTTGTTTATCAGAACTGATTCAGAAGAGAGGAGGAGAATCAGGTCAGATATGAATCTTTCACAAACGAGAGAGAAAAAAAAAAAGAATACATATAAACGTATTTGTAATATGATGAAGATAGTGTCTAAATATACTTATTTATTTCAGGAAGGAGTATTATTAAAAAAATAATACTCCCAGCTTTGCTATTATTATTATTATTTTACAATGGAGGTAGTATTACAAATGTAAGAATCTGTTAAATGTGAACTCTTTTTGGGATTGGTGTAGAATTTTATATATTTTTATTATAATTGTTTGATTAAATGTCAAAAAAATAACAGACTTATCAACATAATGAAGTATGGCTGCTGCATGCAATATTGCCAGCTGATGAACAAGTTCAGTTGAATAGAATCAGTATTATATTCTCGTACTACAACGTCATAAACTCGCAGGTTCACTTAATTCATATAATCTCACGTGCTTTTTTAGTATTTCCTTTTAATTAATTAAAAAAAAATAAAAAGCGTGGCCGCCAGCAGATAAATACTTACAAATGCCATACCACAAGTGTTGCAAAGTCATAAAATAACTGAATTAATGTTGAACAACTGAAACTAGCTGGAGTAGTTGCAGATTTTCGCGCAAGAAGAACCGTTCAATTTTGTGAGAAATAAAAGTATTTAAAGTAACAGGATATATGTATTTAAAGTAACGAGGTTCTTAGTTCAATTTCAATATCTCGTTTTTAAAGGTATAAGATTTTATATTGCCTTGATTCAATAAAGAGTTATTGTTTTGGTGTACCAATAATTGTGCTCAGTGGATGCCTTTTGACTTTTGCCTACCAAACATATAACATTAACTATATCTACATCAAGATCCAAAATAAATTTTAATCTGGTTGTTTGTTATAAGTTTTGAATTTATTATTATTCGTAACCGTCCATTCCAAATTAAAATCGTGACATATTTTTGCGGATATCAATTTAGTGAATGTGGTGATGGATGGTGAATAACTAACATTATTTTGGCAAAATCATCAACGGTTTGAAAAAAGACACAACATTCAGAGGCCCAAAAACATTGAGCAGAGATTCAAACTTTATTTCCTCTTGGCCCAGCTAATGGACTAGACCAGGCCTTTATAAAGAAAAAGATATAGGTGCTTCTTTTACATTATAGCCCAAATACAGAGTAGTGTAAATTCATCAGGAAGTCTACAATAGGTGAGAATTTGTAATGTCGGTGATCAAGAGAACTTGAACACAAAGCCATGAAAAGAATTGCAAACGATTTTAAAAGGCTCCCAAAAAATCAAAATCTAGATTTCTTCATGAATAATAAATTGCTGAAGCAGATTCTTCAGAGCTTGTCTTTTCATAATCTTCCCATAAATCCCTCTCCCTAGCTTCATTGCTTTCTCCATTTCCACTGATCCACAACCACCCAAGGCAGCAACATTACCATTTTTCTTCAATCCTGCCATCAGCAGCTTCACAATCCTTTCTTCACTTCCTATTGCATCCACAACACTCTCAACTACTGTCCCAATTGCTGGAATCCTTCTTCCCCATTTCCTCATCACTTTCTCTGATCCAGATGCTTCTTCATAAGCACCCCAAAATGAAGCCCTGATGTAGCCTTTGCCTTTTCCCCTCACCATTACTCTCTTCATGCATTCCTCCAATCTATACACAACACTTCCCATGTCAAGCCCTTTGCCTATTACCATCTCAAGTTCTGCCATTTCTTGGTTATGGCTGAGTGTTTTTTCATATTTGCATCTCCTGCAGTTACAGATAAAGCCCCAATTTTTAGACATTTCTTCCCTGGTGCTAAATGGCTGGAGCACATCAAAGTATGCAAATGTGAGCTCTTCACCAGCTTTTACATCTCTAGATGCATGAATTGCTACATGATCTCCAATGTGCAAACGCCTCACATTAGGCTCACAAGAATGATTGACTAAAGAAGCTAGCAACCAAAGCCCAACTCCATGATAATAACTGTTCTTACCTAATACTTTGGACGAAATTGATCCCTCCACAAGGGAATTCACGTCCAGTATACTTAGTATATTATCCACATCAAGATCTCGTGAGGAAAATCTTTCTTCCTCTGCTTCAGGCCTGAATAAGTCTATCTCAGGAACAACATCCATATCATCATTTCCTTCTTCACCATCTGATAACATAGAAATCAAACCACGGGTTCTGCTGCACTTTCTAGCTGATTCAACCACTTTATCCACTAAATTCTTCCACATCACCATTTGGGCATTTTGGCTTGAATCATCTTGGGGCAAAATGCCTCTCTCTGTAGCAATTGCCTTTGTCACCAGCAACAAAGTTCCACATTCTACATTCTTAGTTGCAAATAAACCCTTGCCGCTGATTTCAGACTTCTTGATTTCCACCCCACCAATGTACTCGGCGAGTTCCGGCATTTTCCCACGAAACCCACCAAGAATCCAATCAGAGAGATCAAAAGATCCAGTCTTTGAAAGAAGCTCAAGCTTCTTACATCTATCTAAATACTCATTTAAAGTCTTAAAATTGAAACTTTCCTGAGTATCAAGATTAGCCGCCCTAAAGCATTCCAGAGCCGACCCATATCGATTGAGATCGAACAAAATTTTACCTTTGCAGAGCAGAGTCTTCAAATGGGCACACTCAATTTTCAACGCTTCATCACAATCTTTCAGGGCAGCCGCGAATTCTTTCAGGCGAAACCGGGCTTCGGCTCGATTTGAGTGGGCTAAGCAGAGGGATTTCTGCAGCTTGGATTGTTGATGATGGGGCTTCAGCAATTGTTCTTGGCAGAGAGAAATGAAGTGAGAATAGGCATCTATGGCTTCTGTCCATTCTTCTCTTAGGAGGAGCTCTGTGGCTTTGGATCTCAACTGCTGCAACTTGGCTTCTTCCTCATCAATATCTTGCACTTCTTCTACTACTTCTTTCATCTTCTTCTTCTTCTTGATTTTCTGCTCTTTCACTGTGTGGGCTATGGGAGTGAAAAAAAGGTGAAAAGTGAAAACTTGAAATTTGTGGGATTGTAACGGTCGAGATGCCAGGGGAAAAATTTGCTCCTGTTTATATTTTGTAATGTTTCCGAGTCTTTCTCACGTGAAACTGTAACGGCTATTTAGTTCCGAACAGAGGCAGATTTTGGTAATATTAAAATGAACTGTTTCGCTAATTCATGGGAGGTAAATTAGGCAATGTACACTGTACAGTTTACGATGTGAAGGATAAAATATACAGAGAATTCATAAATCCTGCATCTGGTTCAGTAAATCAGACTTCTGTATCTCTACTAACTTTGAACAATTCTAGTTCCTTCAAGGTAAATGATGATTCCAGTTCTACGTGTGCTACATTATACCCTCCGATATTTATAGGCACAATTTGGGAATAAACTTAGTTTAGAATCTCATAAAATATGGCCTGAATGGAGTAGTAAATCTGATGAAGAAGCTTTATATGATTTAAGGAAGTCTTTTGAATGAGTTTAAGTTGCCTTTACACAAATATTTGCTCAAGACAAGCATGAAACTTTCTGCCCAACTACTGCTAGATATTACAAATTTACAATCTTTAAGAGTTAACATGCTCCTACGTTGCAGGTGACTAATTACATAATGATTTGATATATAGTCCTACTCACTAATACGACCAAAAAAATTACAATTATGAAAAAACAACTTAAGATTCACGATTATATTCCTGGTACACTATTAGAACTAAATGACAGCATTGCCACTAGTTGTCCTTTGTTAGATATGATCATTCGGTATTTAGGTACAAATGGAACCCGACTGGCCCCCTTCGGAGATCTGGATCCGGTTAATCCACATTTTGGATGATCGAGAGATGCTTAAAGGCTGGATCCTGATTGATCGTATTTTGCAATTGTAACTCCTCTCAAGACCACGTCATCATTTTCGGAGGACATACATTCCATCCCTAAGTTCTAACTTCTCTTCTGCAACTAATCCTGATAAGAAGCTCTGTAGCTGCTGCAGTGATTTGTCATATGCAGGATCACCCACACAAAACATCTGCAATAAATATTTGTCGCTTAATTTACCTTCAAAATCCTATTATGCCGTTCTAATATCAATCAGAATCTAGTATGATTACCTTTAGAGTATTATGGATACGGTCCAAAGCCATGCTGCCGAAATTAGTGAGCATCCCCATTATGAATTTCTGCCACAGAAATCAGTGAGCTCAGAACAAGAAGGATCACTGAATACAGATCATGCAACTCATATCCATCCTATCTTTAGATTCGACATTGAATCAAATAATCTAGCAAGCATCAGTCACATTTATTGGCTAAGTACCCTCACAATGCAGTGGGGCAGTCTATGACCATGAGGCACTTAACAAAATATTACTGAGCCTAATGAAATTGCTCTTAGGAAATCAGGATTCACCTCATATACAGTCATCTCTTTGCGAAGCTGATCCTCAACAGAAGCAACAGCTCTCTCCCCTTCGTCATCACCAACCATGAGCTCCTCACGAATTCCACTGTTAGAAGCAGTTTTACCATTGTCATTTACACCCTCCACCAGGGAAAAGATATGCTTATTAGCATCGGCATCAGCTGATTCTGAAAGAACTCCCTATTTCATCAGACAAAATTCATGAGAAATGTTAAACATCCTAGCCATTACAATTAGTACCAAGTGATATTTATTAGGAAAACCAAACCTGAGAGAACAGCATGCTAAAACATTAACACTCCAAATGCTTCTATCTTTTTGTTACGAGAAAAGGGTTGGTAACAATAATTAATGCCATATCAATGAACCATGCAGCTAAAATAAAATCACCATGCAAAAAGGATTACAAAGCACAAACAATTAAGACTAGATCTATAGAAATGTGACAAAATTAGACCAGCCTCGTAAGCAGAAACTTACCAAAATTTAGGATTTAGCAAAAGAGTAAGTGAAGGGGCAAACTGGATAAAATATTACACTCATTTGACAGGCCAAAAAGAAAAAGGTCCATACAATGAAATGCCCTTGTCATGGTTAAAATAACTTTAGTCAAGACCATGTTGATTTTGCAACTTTACTAAATGACTTCCGATGCCCTACTTACTTTAGCTTCAGGTTATCTATACATATCAGATTTTGACTATATATGGATCAAATGAAGGAGGAACCGAGCCTTGGCACAGCGATAGGAAATGTTGCCGTGTGAACTGAGATTACGGACGCAAGTGGTATAAATAGATTTAATAAATGATCTAAAGTGAAACTTTCCATTGGGTACAAATGGTCTGAGTCATCCCTGGACCCCACACATGCAAGGGTTTCTATGCATTGGGCTGTTCCTTTTTCATCAATTAAATGAAGATCATTGACCAGCCCATTTCATTTTTCTGAATTTTATGCTATCCAACGGAGAACAGGAATTTTTACAAATTTAATCACTGTTTGACTGACACACTTAAGAACATGAATTCGGTGGGCAAAGGTTGCTGACGACGGATTCACAATAGTGAAGGAATAGTAGACACTTATAATCCAATAGGACTAGCAAAAATAATCCATGCACGAAAGGTCATTATCTCCTTTAATAAGAAGGAACAAGAACTAAAGCAGTATTTAGCCCCCAGAAAATCTGAAAATATGAGAAAAGAAGAACTTAAACATCAGTTATTCACAGTTAAGAAACCTGGGGGAAACCAACCTTGCTGATCCAAAAACCAATTCTCCTATTCAATACATCCACGGGTACCCCAACTGCAGCAGCTAGATCCTTGGAGCTCCAACTGAAATTGTAAAACGTAAAATTAGCAAAACACCCTGTGAAAATTCTTAAAATGGTTCACTGTTAAGCATTGACATTCTGCGGGTAACCTTTTTTCATCTTGAAACTGCAAAATAATTGAAGCCTGTAGAGGGGTAACAGTAAATTGTATCTCTTTGTCTTCAAATTGCAACTCCAACTAAAAAGAAAAACACAGCAATGTCAAAATTGTACTTGGCAAGGCAGAACTATGGTGGATAGAAAAATTATCTGTTCACCCTGAGGCTGAGATGATATCAATAATCAACTATCCTTAAACTTCCTATTGACAACTGCCTTTTAATCGAAAGAGAAAGTACTTTTTAAAATTTAGTTTAGGAGCAGCAAACCTTCACGGTACCAAGATTTTTCTTCCAAAGTAATTTACGAGGAGTCTTTATTTGATGAAATCTTTCAGAATAGTCATCTAAAAGCTTGTCCACTGGAGCAGGTAAATTAAGAGTTTCATCCTGCAAAATCAAAATCCTATACTGCTGTAATGCATACTTCCAATAGAAACTAGGAGAAGACATAGTTTACTATACTGAAGGTAAGAACAAACTCCAGGTAAATTAACCACTAAGCAATTGACAAACCTGGATAGGTGGCCAGAAATTTGAAGATATGATGGTAGAACTGAGAATATCCATAGATAACTCATGCTCCTCAAGCACTGCAAAAGCTCCATGGTTTCCACATAATAATTATCAGAACACTCCGAAATCAAGGATACAACATGATATAGACACCACATACAAAAGCTCTTGTAATCTAGAATCACAGTGTTCAAAATTCATTGAGTGCAAACTATTTCTGACCAGGTTGTGATTGCTGTTTGATGGTAGCTTTAATATTTGTGTTAGTCCTTTTGGAATCGATAAGATCGTTGAGCATGATTTCACAACGCTGCATGCTACTCTCTCCAAAATGTATCTGTAACATACACCATGGTCAAGTGGAGAATTAGTGATCTGAAATTATTGATTGATATTATCAGGAACGTATAATTTAGAAGCATTATGAGAATGATGAAAGTGAGCATATTAACAAACACCTTCAAGAGTTCCAAAGTACGAATTTCAGAGTCAATTTCATAATCACATTTGTTGAGAAGCTTCTCTGCCAACATAACACGATATTCATTTATCAGCTGATCCTTGGAACCGATGATACTAACAATCATGCCAAGTATGTCAACCTTCCTTCTATTCCGGCTTCCCTTTAGAGTATCAGCCTCTACTGGATCAGGCTCCCAACTTCAAAGGGTATCATAGGAAATTCATCAGCTCAGTATTACATCATTCAAGTTGTTTTACTCTGTCAAAAAACGAAGTACATACCGCTGTGCATTGATCCAGGCTTGCTTGTCATCAGTGTTGAAATTGTCATCTACACTTGTATTCTCTTGATTCTCTTCATCTCTGTTTAACTCTTCAAGAAGGCTATCCCCGGTGCTCCCTGACATATTATTACCCCCACTAGTCCCATCAGTGAGCATTGTAACAATGCACTTAATGGTATCTTTCCTGCCCTTCAGGTACTCCCTTATTGGCTCACCAACAGCTTCAAGAAAAACACCCGCTGGATCTATGGTTCGAAGAGCTTTGATGGTTGAAACATATTGGTGTAGAATATCATTAGTGGAGGCCCCAGCTGTAAGTAACCGATAGCGCAGGGAAGAGATAAATGAATCAACCAGTTTTGCATGTTGCCCTGTGTACTCAAGACACAGTTTCAGGTCTTCAATAGCAGGACCACTGCAAGAGTTTTACAGAACAGATATCATCAGTTTAGAAAAGAAATTTAAATAAATATAGAACAAGTAAGATGGAGAAACGCCTCAGAAAAACTGATAACATTAGTGGAAAAATCACCTGTCTGGGTAATCCACAATTATCTCAAATAACTTGGCTATCCTTAAATCTTGCAAGGTTTCATATGCGAAATACTCCAACCGCAATTGCCATCTAACAAGTTCCTCAGAAGGAGCTTCAGCCCCAAAGAAGCATGATGAGGGCTGTGATGCTAATGGAGATTTTAGACCAGATGAAGGGCTTGCATAGTCAGTAGAATCACCAAGGTAAGCCAAGAGTGCATGCAAGAACTGGAGGGGTACAGCCTGCAGGATACAACGAAATGCTTTTAAGTTTACTGGTCCCGCATATGTTACGCCTTCCTTTAGAAGAATAATGTGGCAAAATTTCTAGAGTTTGTACATGATAAGCAACGAATTCTGGTTTGGAACATATATTACGTCATATCATATTTTGTCGAGTAAGACAACATTAATCCCACCCAAATGAAATATGAACCTGTAGACAAACAGATAAAATCTCCGGGTAATCAAGTGTGGCCATATGACAAGATCAGTTTGATCATCTTAACTCTATCATAAGAGAATTCAGAAGTAATAAGTACAATGATGCAATTATGGGAGAAAGCATGCTCATGGTCTCAAATATGAAAAGATACCAGCTAAAATTGATAAAGAATATCTTCTATGTTATCATGATCTACGCAAAACGCCCAAGTGTACTGACTACAATAAAAAAGTATTTAACAGATATTCTTCAACATTCAGATGGTAAAGGTAGCTTATTCAGAACAACATGATAATTTTTTGTCCAAAAGAAATGGTAGGTTCTTGGAAAAAGTTAACGGAACTCCATAATTTAATACCATAATGCAACGAGATAACAAACAGAGGAAAGTAACCTGTATCCACCCTTTAATGGACTCCAAAACAGAATTCCGAAAATCATCTCCAGCAAAGTCTTGCACCTTAGCCTGATTAGAGGAACGAAAAAAAGTGCAAAAACATACGATCAGTAAGCTTCTTCTAAAAAAATTTAAAATATTCTAAACTACATTAGCTTACTTAATTGCAAATGATTATAAACATGTTACATTGAACCAAAGGTAATAAATCTTCAAAAGAAACTATGATAAAATTCATACTTACAAAAACAAATTACCTTCAAAAGCAAGAAAATTGCAGAAGCATAGGCATCTTCTGCCATGGAAGTCAAGCCAATACTTCGAAGATTGTAAACCACAGTTCCAATGTTCTTCACTAACTTGTTGTTCTCAGAAATCCTTTTGATTCGGTGTCCTCCATCAACATCCATATCACCACTTCGGCAAGCTAGTTTACCTATCCCATCCACATCCATGACATCATCAAATTTTGCTTCATTGTCCTCACCTCCCTCTATTATTGTACTCAGTTCCTCAAGCCGTTCCTTGAAATACCAGTGCAACACCTCTACAAGGCATTAAAATATTAGAGACCTTGGTAAAGAACCGGCAAAAGAAAAAAAATGCACTTGAAATATTAGAGACCTTGGTAAAGAAAGGGCAAAAGAAAAAAAATGCACTTGCGACAAAGAAAAGATTCAATCTATGTTTGATTCATTTTCTGAGTGTATTTCTGGGTTATTTTCCTATTTTTAATACTTTTACCTTCCTACACCATTTTTCATTCTCAACGATAAAGTTTTAGAGTACTTATGTGCCTCTTCACTCTACCATTCCAAAAAGTAACCATTCGGACTCTCTTTCACTTTTGCTTTTTTGACCACACAATATGAACATGACAAACACAAAGAAGTTCCTAAACAGGCAAAGTTGCATACCAGGAAAGTGCCTCGGAAGGCTTGTCATCAGAACAGAAGACACCATCAATTTATAATTATCAAAAAAAGGCTCCTTCTGGGTGTTTACATCACGCTTATTTCCTGAATCAGAATGTACAGCCATAGTCAACACCCTCAAGCACCTCTCCTGATGTTGTTTATCGGATGATATTTCTTCCAAGGCTTTGCGTAATACTTCCTGAATCTCATCTTTTTGCATCTGCTAAAATAATTTTATAATAATCGATATCACATGTAGTTCAAAACTACCAGTACTCCCACAAGTTACTCATAAGCTTCAAGAAATTTGAAATAAATGGACCAGAAACATCCATTAAGAAATTCATATATTATATATAAAATTAAATGCTAAAAATACTTACAGGTTCATTATTGATTTCGAGTGCTGCAACATTTCTATACGGTTCAAAATGCCTCCAAAACCTTACCACTGCATTACTCTCAAAGATTTCCTACACCATTATCATAAAAGAAAGGGGAAAACAACCTCCAGAAATCAATATTTTTAAGACATTCTTACACTCAAAAACGAGAAAAAGCATTCTTCATATACCTAGTTGCCTCAAAATAACCTACTTTACTATTCATTCTAATTTCCATCCTAGTTGTTCAGGACAATAATAAAGCATACATAATATTTGAACGTGAATTACCTCAACCATACGAAGGAAATGCTGCTGGACTAGTGACTGAAGGCCATGTTTACAAAGAATCTGAACTTTTGAAATCAACTCCGACGAGCCAACGGAAAAATCGCCGCTGCCTTTGAGTAGAGCTTCCGCAGCTGAGCAGTATCCATCCCAACTCTGTACAATTTCGATGATTGAGTCTTGACTCAGTGAATCCAAAGCCGTCAAATTACACGCCGGAGTTGACGGTTCATCCACTGCCATTTCCGACTCCGAGAAGCAATGCGGCGATGTCGTTTTACATGTAGCAAAGCTTTTTGAAGTTTTCCCTCGTATTCTTTCTTGTTGATTATTTAAGTATTCAGCGGGTCGGTTAGCCTGTTTTATAAAGAGTTTCAGACTGGTCTGAACTAAACGGGCCTCTGCCTGAATTGAATGAAACTTTGGGCTGAAAATGGTGGCCCAATAAGTTCCAAACCGCCAACAACTTCAAGTGAGCTCATTGATGTGAACTGTGAAGAAATTGCAGATGGCGATGAAAACCGGCGACGATCGACAGAATACAAACAACTCAAAGAAGATTCTGCTGACGTCACTGTCAGCAATGGTCGCGGAAACTTCCACGTTTCCGATCGATCTCGTTAAAACCCGGCTGCAGCTCCACGGTGAGTCTCTCTCCAACTCGCGGATCCGCCCCACCAACGCCTTCAAAGTCGCCGCCGGAATCCTCCGCAACGACGGGATTTTGGGTTTATACAGTGGTTTGTCCCCTGCTATTATGAGGCACCTTTTTTACACTCCGATTCGGATTGTGGGTTATGAGCATTTGAGGACCCAATTTGTGGATTCAGACCATCATCCACTTCCTTTGTATTCAAAGGCAGTAATTGGTGGAACTTCTGGCGCCATAGCTCAGGTTCTTTTCTTTAGCTTATACCATGACTGTTACAAAGGTTGGATTTTCTTTTACTTAGTTGAATGAGAATCGGACTGATTAAGTGAGTTTTGCGCGCACTTTTTCTTCCTAGTCTGTAAAAGCCATGCCCCAATGGATGAAATTAATGTTTGATCACATAAGCTTCTCTTTGCTGTCTAATGTATTGATTCTGAATAAGAGTTAACATTGAGTGAGAAGCAACTAGCAATTCATATGTATGCTTGACTGTACACAGCGAAGAGCATGTTTCTGGTTCTCATTCTTTTTGGAGTTTAAGAATAAGGGTTTTAGTACTGTGCCTGACGAGCTCATTGGTATTGGGCTACTGTGATTATGCGTTGGGAATATGGCAAAATGGTTTACGGCATAAGTCTATGTTATGCTGTATCTCGTGGATTTGGGATCATGGTTGTTTATGTTGAATTTACTAGTTTCTTTTGCTTGAATAGCTTATTCTTTTGCGGCAGCTCCCTATGAGATTGGAAGTACATTGATTTTTAACTGAAATCATGATGTTTCACAAAATCTATCTTCTAAGGGCTACACGCTTAACTGAAATCGATCTGTTGCTCTGGATCAGGATGAAATTTTACACCCAACTGTTTTTTTTCCCCCTTCTTTTGCATCAGGGTTGTTGTAATTTACTCCACTATTCATCTGTTTGTCCTCTGTATAAGGCCTAGCACAAAGGGCTTTAAATTTTCTTCATTCATTGATCAACCGTAGCAAGCCTGTACACAACAAATAGTCTTCAGTTGTACTCCTACCCCCTATCTCTGCCCAGCCTTGCCAGGAAGTTAATGTTCAATTGTGATCCAATATGGAGATATTGTACTGTATTAAGCAGCTGGCTAGCCATCTTGTTTGGCATTTTCATTTATGATATAATTACATGACAAGCTAATTTGTCATTATCGATGATGTTTATCAGTTCACTGTAATTTGAAATGATTCCTCTCGTTTCCAAGTTGCATCCTTTTTGATAGCTTATAGTTATTCAACTCTCAGGTGGTGGCTAGTCCTGCAGACTTGATAAAAGTGAGAATGCAAGCAGATAGACGAATGGTTGACCATGGTATCAAGACCAGGTACTCAGGACCTTTTGATGCCTTAAATAAGATTATATCAAATGAAGGGCTTGGAGGACTTTGGAGAGGGGTCATTCCAAATGTGCAAAGAGCATTTTTGGTCAATATGGGAGAATTAGCTTGTTATGATCATGCCAAACATTTTGTTATTGAAAACAAGATTGCCGAAGATAATATTTACGCGCATACTTTATCTTCGATAATGTCTGGACTTTCCGCAACTGCCTTGAGTTGTCCGGCAGACGTAGTTAAGACGAGAATGATGAACGAGGCAGGCAGAGTGGAAGGGCAGATTAGATACAGAAACTCTATTGACTGTCTTGTAAAGACTGTTAGAATTGAAGGAATTAGGGCACTCTGGAAAGGATTCTTCCCTACTTGGGCAAGGCTGGGTCCTTGGCAATTTGTGTTTTGGGTATCCTACGAGAAATTTCGCCACATTGCTGGGCTTTCCTCCTTTTAGTGATAAATAAATGACCCATTCAACAACACTTTTCTTGGATCAACATATCCAAAGCATTATGCGCCTAAACTCATTTACTAAAAGAAAAAATCAATCAATCTTGTCGTCTTTCTTCTTCCTTTGTCTCATAATCATAATAATCCTCTTTTGTTTCAAAGATGAGTGGCTTTTTATGGTCATGTCGTTGCCATAATCCGAAAGATGTAGGTGGTCGGAAGAAGTCAAATAACATGGGCCGTTGTGATGGTTTTAAGAGTGAATTAATGCAGCGCTTCTACTATAATGGAGACACATTAAACTAGTTCTTGAATGAGAGAGCATAATGACGGTAGAGAGTTATGCCACCGCCGGCGTGGAGTCATCAACTTGCTACCGGCCCCTCCTCTTTTATATTCAGACATGATACTAATTTCTTATTAAATGGTGGCTGTAATGTACTGTTGGAATTTAATCATTATTTCAATTAATTAATCAGTCCATTTATGAATTTTATCACAAAGTTATTTTCATTTTCTTGCAAATGTCCACCCATTTTTTTTTTCTTTTTGAAAATAAGATGTCCACCCACTAGCTTGTAGATTTGTAGCATTTTCGTTCTTCTTCTACTCTCTATCTTTTCTTTTCTTTTTTTTTTTTTTAAAAAAAAATCACGTCATTTCAAATTGGATTCGATCCATGAAAGAGATTCACAAAAAAGCAACCAGTCAGAATATGTTTTACTCTCGACAGCATTTAATTTCTTAGTTTGTAAACTTTGGGTAAAATCTATTATCCCTGTCAAACAAACGTTATTTCATTTTCATCTGAAAGCTAGATATGATAGCAGTAAATGCAGATAGTCCGACAAATTGAATTTGGTGGTTAAAATGTAAATCCTGGATATGGAGGATGACCCAGTATTTCCGTTGAGAAGTTTTTGCGCTGATTTGTGCATTCTGGATATCGATTAATTAATCGTGTCAGTGGTTCAAAATCCCAATAAAATAAAATAAAAAATCACAGAACAAAAAATCTATATGTATAATTTTTGTTTCATTCAAAGAACAAAAAATCTCTTTAAAAAACTATACACGTACTTATTCTGTAAATTAGACGGCATTGCAACGGAGTTGAGGCACTAGATTAAAATTCTTTTAGAAAATGAGGACCACCAAGAAACATGATCTGAATATAACTACAATTTTCAGGTGGGAAAAATAAAAGTGAAGAATTATATTGAACAAGGGAAAAAAGGTGAAATTGTAATCCACATGTGATGGAAATTGTATTCAAGTGGATCAGGAAGGAACCAGTCGCTCATTGATTCGGTTTCATTAATTCTTCATGTATGTTGAATTAATATTAGTGGGGATAGTTTTAGTGATGGTGCCAGGGGACACTGGACAGGCAGGCAAAGCTAGATTGCACCTTTCCAATTTTATAAATATAAAATGATACTTTTAGTGAAATAATACAGTGAAAAAATATTGTGACTAATGTGTATCCTTATTTTGTTGTCACTTTATCCTTGAAATTTTTTTCTCTTTCAAAATTATCTTACCCTTAATTACTATAGACACATCAATCACTATGTATTTTCACTAATTTTTCTCACTATCTGTATCAGTACTCTTTATAAATTTAGTGGGATGCTACTTTCTAATAGATTTTTTTTTTCAGACATTTATCTTTTTTTTTACATACCTCTAATTAAATATTACTCCTTCGTTTCAAAAGAGAAAAAAAAAAATCATATTGAGTTTTGAGATTTGTACTCTTTCTGGTACAAATTTTAAGACTGAATATGAAATTTTCCTTTTGTTTTTGGATAAAATAGTATAATGTCAACAGTTATATTTGAAAATCTCACACTCCTTTGTAAACTTTCTCTCATGTGTGGACATGTTGGTATGACATACATTTATATATAATATACATTTAAAATAGCCATTTCCAGAACTCATTTTAATACTCCAAAGTTGCATATCAATGTCAAAGATTCAAATCACGAGTTATGGTTAATTCAACCCACGCAAACACATTTACCACATGAATGAACTTAAGTATACTATATATATTCTCTATCTATATACGTGGTCACTAGCTTTGGCTCATGTCTAAAACCAGACAGCCAAATTCCAATTCCCTTTATTTCTTGTTCATCTCTTTTAGTTGTTAAGCTAGTGGCTTAGGGGTTAGAATATCATTATTACATACTAGTACTATTTCTTTTCATTATTACCGACAAAAATCAGCAGTAGACTTTTCACGTTTTCTCTATATATATATAGTACGATTGTACGAAGGTACAAACTAAAAACAAGTACTTTTTTGCACTCAAATATTCAAGTGGGGAAAAAATATTCAATATCGAAGATATGGGAAGGTCGCCATGCTGCGAGAAACTGGGATTGAAGAAAGGGACATGGACACCTGAAGAAGACCAAAAGCTCTTGGCTTACATCCAACAACATGGCCATGGCAATTGGCGTTCTCTCCCTGCTAAAGCCGGTATTATATTTTTACGTTTTCTACTGATATTTGTATACCCTTGATTTATTTTTTGCTTGTGGTTTATCCATTTGAAATAAGAATGATGGTAATGTCATTGTGTCGATTTTTTTTTTTAAAAAAATAAAATTTAGGGCTACAAAGATGTGGAAAGAGCTGTAGACTACGGTGGATCAATTATCTACGGCCTGATATTAAGAGAGGAGACTTCAGTTTGCAAGAAGAACAAACCATTATTCAACTCCATGCACTTCTCGGAAATAGGTATACACTCGTCAACTTGATTCAAAATTCTATTTACGCCGAATCAATAGTTATGAATTTACATTATGCATTCTGAGAATGAGACTATTCCTCCGAGTTTACAACTTGCTAACACATATCTCATCATTTTTACCTGATCAAGTGGAATGAGTATTAATTTGAATACGATACAACATATATGATCATGTTTATACCTTTTCTTGTCAGCATATGATCATGTTTTGATCTGCATGGCAATTAATTATGGGATAAATTAACTGACCAATTTGTTGACGTTGATGTTATAAAAAAAATATAGATGGTCAGCCATAGCAACACATCTGCCAAAAAGAACAGACAACGAAATCAAGAACCACTGGAATACACATCTGAAGAAGAGACTAATCAATATGGGGATTGACCCGTCAACTCATAAGCCAAAATCAAACCCTTTGGCATCCGGCCAGCGCAGAGACACTGCAAACCTTAGTCACATCGCGCAGTGGGAAAGCGCTCGTCTCGAAGCCGAATCCAGGCTTGTCCGAAGATCCAAACTCACATCAGTTCAATCATCGACAAGCACGAATAATGGCAAGGTACCACCATTACAGCCAATGGTGTTACCTTATCTCGACGTGCTAAAAGTATGGCAAGGACAATGGAAATCATGTAGTTCTACTACTAGTAATGGGTTTTTCTGCAATCACTTTAATATTGGAACCCTTGAATCTCCGACCTCCACGTTAAACTTTTCCGATAATGTTATCCCTAATTGTTTTGGTGACAGCTTGTCATTTTCAGCCGTTAGTTATGTTGAGAATCGAAAGCCATTCACAAAAGAAATAAATGTTGCAAATAATCATGGTGTCGTGCAGCTTCATCATGACATTGTTGATTACCCTAATATTGATGCTTCTTATTACTTTGATGGTTCACTGAGGTCAGCTCCAAGTTTCATGGAAGGGTTTGTGGACGCCGATATTGTTACCGGACAAAGTTCGAATAATGCTGTCAATATGGGATCGTTTCATGGTAATGTTCTTGACGGCGTATCCAGTGGCGGTGGCGGTCTTGAAGACAACAAGAGATATTGGAACAATGTCCTCAATGGAGAGATTAATTTTCCAGCAACTTAGTTAACAAAATATGCGTTTATGTATTCTTTAGTATGCTTAGTTGCTTTATGCGAAAGCAAATATTTTAGCCTTTAGCTAGGGTTTCATTGATTATGAATCATGAAGAAGAAGAAGAATAATGTAGTAATAATCTAGTCGTAAATTTTTCCTTTGAGGGAAGAGTGGAACTATTGGTATTCGAAAGAAATAGAGGCGCGCATGTCAATTTTCCATTTGAGGAGAGTATGTACTTGACGAATATTCATTCGACGTTTCCATTTTAAGCTGGTGACGATGATGATCAGTTCTTTGTTGTGTTTTACGGGTTTGTTGCTCCATTATTTGCCTGGCAGAATGGTCTTTTCTTTTTGGACGAAAGCAGCCCAGACGCTTATAAAATTATAAAAGTTTATACATTTTGTGATTGATGAGGCTACCCTAATTAATGTAAATCATTGCATGTCTGTAGGTGGAGGGTCATACTCACATACATGCCGATTTCAATTTAACATATGGTTATTGTAAGGATTTCCTGCAACATTTTTTTATTAATTTTCTTTTCTTTTCGGTTTTTTTTTCCATTCAAATCATTGAAGTTTGATTTACAGGGGTGGGAAGTAGTACTGTAAATGTACTACTTGCATCAACTTGAAGATGTGTACACTTCCACCGTTTTATCCTTCGATGCTTGCCAGCCACAAGTTGCAGAGCTTTGTTTGAAGAGCACAATATTTTGTATGTCGTGTGCTAAACAATTGAGTATACCATAGTACATATTTTCCACAAAAACGGCTATCCGGGTCAAGTAATTATTGATCGAGTCATATTACTGTTCGTTCATAATTTATTTCATTGTCTATGCGTTACAAAAAAACGGATAATCTCCTAAATAAATTTAACCTGCATCATGTGGATTGTGGACGTTTCCATCACACAAAACCTTTACTTTCTCTCTTGCTAACTTGCTCCTCCTAGCTACGTACCACCGTATCAACGAAACCTTGCATGGCTGAAAAAGAAATGATTTTGTGTTTCCAGATGTTGTATTTACCTAAGGTATATAAATATGTTCTTTTCCCCTAGTGCAAAACTCCAACAGCTTTGCAATTTACAAAGTTGCAAAGTCATTTACATTTGTATCTTATGAATACCATGACCATCCATCTCGATCATTGTCATTCAATCATTAATTTTAATGCTCCATCAGTCCATCTGATCCTAATTATAAGCTACAAATTTGAATTATATCTAGTATTAATTTTTAACAGTTGTTTTGGTAACATTTGTATAAAGTGATGTAAAATTGAGTTGAATTTGTTTCAATTCCTCACTTCAATACTACCATTATTAAGTTGTGAACTGGAATTTGTTTAAAAGTATATAAAGGACGAACTGAGATAAACAGCAGTACTTTTGAATTGTGATAAACCAAAGCACACACATTTTTTTTCTCTAATAATCCTCAATGATTTTAGTATTAACATCAGAAGACAAAACGACCAATTGGACCGTTCACCCTGAATTCTATTTAGCGCCTATTTCTGTTCCTCGCCGTACTGATGAAGAGTGGTTTTCCTTCTGAGTACTTGTCAATATTTCAGTACAGAGGGGGCAGACACAGTTAAATTTTTGAAAATATTACTGGTCGCAAGCTTGATTTGACCCCATGACATGCAGTTTAAATCTTTCCGAGGAAAATAGTATTCATATTTTTTCTTTTTTTGATACGGTACAATTATTTTCGTAAAAAATAAATAAATAAATTATTTTTTATTGTAAGTGTGAATATTAATGAAAGTAAAGGTAAAATTACTTTATTAATTACAAGTGAATGTAACATTGCAAAAAAAAAAAAAAAAAAAAAAATTAAAACCAAAAGGGCTGTGGTGGAATGGTAAGGACTAAGGACTCCTCCACCCTTAACGTCGCTATGGGCATGGAACAATCTGAAATACTTTGTCCAACTGTCCTACCCATCGAGGTGCCTACCATGAGTGAGGGGAATTGGTCTCACCCATCGAGGTGCCTACTATGAGTGAGGGAGATTGGTCACTGTTACCGACGGTGGACACGCTTCAATATGAAAATAAAATAAAATGTTGTACTAATAGTTAAGATTATCACGCGCATTCTAGTTGCATGTTTGGAAAAAAAAATTTAAAAAAAAAGGTGTATTACACACACACACATGTATGTATATATATATATATATATATATATATATATTTATATAGTGGTATCGGAGTTTTTAATACAAGCAAGAAGACAATCGGGAAAACTAATTAGTACGTAGTATTTGCTGTATATGGGCATGGGACATTTTAAAGTAAATAGAGCGATAAATTAGTAAGCCGTACCACAATGATGATGTGTGGAAATGTTCCTACAAATATCAAATGAATATTATCTCTAATTAATTAAATTTAAATAGATAAATAAAATTCAACTAATTACATTACTTAACATAAATAATTAATTTATACAATAATAATATTCTTACTTAATTAAATTAACAAAACATGCAATAAATAAAAATATAATTCAACTAATTAATTTACTTAACATAACTAATTAAATTTAATTAACATAACATGCAATAAATAAATATAATTAAACTAATTCAATTACTTAACATAACTAATTAAATTACAAAATAAATTAACATAATAACATGCATGAAATTAAAATTATTAAAAAAAATTAAAAAAAAATTAAAAAAAAAACCCGGTTGAACCGGGGACGCGCAACACACGCGTCCCGGTTCAACCGGGGACGCGCAATATACGCGTTCGGTTCAATGGCCGAACGCGTATATTGCGCGTCCCAGTGAACGGGACGCGTGTTGTACCCGTCCGGCCAATGGATTGAACGCGCTATTGCCGTTCACGGTTCAACCGGGCGCGTATATTGCGCGTCCGGTTCGATTTTACGGTCCGACCGTGCCATATACGCGTCGGTTGAGCCGGGTGCGCAATGTATGCGTCCGGTTCAATGGCCGGACGCGTTTCTTGCGCGTCCCGGTTCAACCGGACGTTTTTTGACCGGTTCGATTATTTTTAAATTTTTTTTTTTATACCTCTGAATTAGTCATTTTCTTTCTCTCTCTACTGGCAGGGGCAAAATCGTCAAAAAAAATTTGAGGTGGCTTTGAGTACTAATTTTGTTGGCTTCAAAAATCCCCCCCTTCATTTTAAGCACTTAAAAGTTTCCGCTGATTGAATTTGCAGTACGTACGTAGCATGCATGCAGGTTACGTACGTGATATCAGGGAGACAGGGACGACATTCGATTGATTCCGCGGTCAAAATGATTTCCGTTGCTTAACTAAATTTTGCATTATCTCTAATTAATTAAATTTAAATAGATAAATAAAATTCAACTAATTACATTACTTAACATAAATAATTAATTTAAGATATACAATAATAATATTCTTACTTAATTAAATTAACAAAACATGCAATAAATAAAAATATAATTCAACTAATTAATTTACTTAACATAACTAATTAAATTTAATTAACATAACATGCAATAAATAAATATAATTAAACTAATTCAATTACTTCACATAACTAATTAAATTACAAAATAAATTAACATAATAACATGCATGAAATTAAAATTATTAAAAAAATTAAAAAAAAATTAAAAATAAATTTAAAAAAAAAACCCGGTTGAACCGGGACGCGTGTTGTACCCGTCCGGCCAATGGATTGAACGCGCCTATTGCCCGTTCACGGTTCAACCGGAGCGCGTATATTGCGCGTCCGGTTCGATTTTACCCGGTCCGACCGTGCAATATACGCGTCCCGGTTGAACTGGGGCGCGCAATGTATGCGTCCGGTTCAATGGCCGGACGCGTTTCTTGCGCGTCCCCGATTCAACCGGGACGTTTTTTTGACCGGTTCGATTATTTTTAAATTTTTTTTTTTTTACCTCTGAATTAGTCATTTTCTTTCTCTCTCTACTGGCAGGGGCAAAATCGTCAAAAAAATTTTGAGGTGGCTTTGAGTACTAATTTTGTTGGCTTCAAAAATCCCCCCTAAATGAATATTATCTCTAATTAATTAAATCTAAATAGATAAATAAAATTCAACTAATTACATTACTTAACATAAATAATTAATTTAAGATATACAATAATAATATTCTTACTTAATTAAATTAACAAAACATGCAATAAATAAAAATATAATTCAACTAATTAATTTACTTAACATAACTAATTAAATTTAATTAACATAACATGCAATAAATAAATATAATTAAACTAATTCAATTACTTAACATAACTAATTAAATTACAAAATAAATTAACATAATAACATGCATGAAATTAAAATTATTAAAAAAAATAAAAAAATTAAAAAAAAATTAAAAAAAAACCCGGTTGAACGGGGGGCGCAACACACGCGTCTGGTTCCAGCCGGGACGCGCAATATACGCGTTCGGTTCAATGGCCGAACGCTTATATTGCGCGTCCCCGGTTGAACCGGGACGCGTGTTGTACCCGTCCGGCCAATGGATTGAACGCGCCTATTGCCCGTTCAAGGTTCAACCGGGGCGCGTATATTGCGCGTCCGGTTCGATTTTACCCGGTCCGACCGTGCAATATACGCGTCCCGGTTGAACCGGGACCGGGGCGCGCAATGTATGCGTCCGGTTCAATGGCCGGACGCGTTTCTTGCGCGTCCCCGGTTCAACCGGGACGTTTTTTTGACCGGTTCGATTATTTTTATTTTTTTATTTTTTACCTCTGAATTAGTCATTTTCTTTCTCTCTCTACTGGCAGGGGCAAAATCGTCAAAAAAATTTTGAGGTGGCTTTGAGTACTAATTTTGTTGGCTTGAAAAATCCCCCCCCCCCAAAAAGAAAGCACCCTTTTGCTGCTCATCTTCTCTTATTTTTATTTTTATATTTTTTTCCTTTTCCCCCTTAAATACATGACTAATTAATGTACAATTCTATTCAACACCTAGAGAAGGGAATAATTTCCACTGCTTGAAGCAACACATTAT